TGTGTTTTGGTATTATAATGATATTATAATGAGCAAAAAGTACACTAGGGTACAGCATTTGTCAAAACATGACAGGTCTTTGGCTTAGGGTGGCAAAAAGTGCAGCTTTGTGCACAAGAACAATCGAGGCCCCACCTGATTACAGAGCCTAGCCGTGGTGTCTCCACTCCACTCTACGCTCCGTGGTGTTCCTTAGGGCTAGCACACCAAGTTTCCCCAGCGCGATAGCATCTAAGGTTGGGAGCCTAGGGAATGCTCAGATAATGCAGTTATGCCCTACCCTGAAAGCCTCTTCAATGCTGTACCTTTTCCTTAAAAGTGTGAATGTTAGTTTTATTTTCCTAGTTACTTCAGGCATTTACACCACAATATAGTAATCAGAACAAATAAAGGCTCTGTTTATCCTGTCTCTGCACAAAAGAACACAGGAAATGTCAGAATAGAATAGACCATTTTGACCCATCACAACTAATATCTTAGCTTCTAATACTTCATGGTACTTCAGAATAAATACTCTGTGGTATTCTCCTTCATTGTACAATCTGTGTGATGGAGAGATGAAGAAAATCCACTATGAGTCTAGATAGCTGTCCATTTTAACCCTGGATCATGAGCCTTTTGTGAAATTGCAATTTTTCTTCTAGTCTACACAAGTCACTAACACTTTTTGATAAACTATCTGCGTTAAGAATGTCCCAGTAACAGCAAATTACAGTGCTTAGGTTTTTTTCATTGTATATATACACATCATGATCAAACAGATAAAGGTTATCAGTTCAATTTAGAGCGGAATCCTCTGCAGTGCTGAGACTAGAGTGGAGATGGTTTCATTCTGAGAATAGCATGAATACAGTTTTACTTCAGACTGAGAACACTACCTAATCTGACTTACAACAGACAATGTGCTGAGTGCATAATACAGAAAATGTAAAATGATTTCTCAAGAAAACATTGGCAATTTAATTGTATTATGAAAATCAATCGTTTATCATTTAATGGCTTTACTGAACAGAGAAAAGTGGCTATGCTATCTGAAGTTCCCACCGGTCATCCAAAGGCTGTTTGAAGAACTCTCTGAATCAAAGAAGCATGAACAAAATGTAGAAGATATTAGACAAAATCTCCTTCTACACTGTAAAGCTGTAACAAAACAACCAATAGATCAGCATAGTTTGGAGTGTTTAAAGACTGTAACTACTATAAAACACCTTAGCAAGTGCAAAGAGAACTTCTTTCACTTTAATGTAAATGCCAAACTTAAACACAGATTGCTTAAATATTATAGCAAACCATGACAAGTCATCAGCTTCCTCTGTGCTTTCATTGCGGCTACATAACTAACGAATTGCTCTGAAGGAATGGAGGTCATTAGCACACATACTGCACAAAGCTGATGGGTCTTTCAGTTAAAGAATTATACTGCCTTTTTTCAGATGTGATCACTTTTTTTATCTATAAACAGATATCAGTTGTCCCTTATAAAACCCAACAAAGCAAAAAAGAGGAACAAATCAATATTCTTTTCAGGTCTATGATGGTCTTTCTACATCCAAGAATACTAGCTACCTAGTTAGGCATTCTCATTAAATATGTCTCCATGATTTTCAGGGTTTAAACGTCTGCTTTGAACTGAAATTTGGCCAACTGATCACATGGGTGGATTCCAATAAAGCCTGACAAGACATAAGTAGCCTATTTTCCAGCTTCAAGTATTATTGTCTGAGCACTCAATGCTTTCTGGAGTGGTGCAGTGCATTTATTTCACAGAAAGAATATGATTTTTTATACGCTTCATGAACAGAATTAATCTGGTGATAGTGGGATACTGAAGTCTTCGCTCTCAGCACTATCCACTCTGGTGTAAAGAAAAGACATGCAGAAGGAATGCCTCCAGGGCTTTCAACCTCTACTGCAGCAGCATCTGGCCCCCCAACAGACCCCTTCATTGTGGCCCTCCCTGGAATACCCTTCCAAGCCTAAGCACCAATATAGAAGAGTGGTGACAGAAGTCTAATCTTGGAAGTACACACCAAAAATTAGGCCAGACAAGTCTTTTCATAACGATTTCCCAGTCCTCAAATAGGAATTCTACAGAACCTCTGTTGATGAAGTATTTGTAGGGCTTAGGAAAAAAAACTTGTGAACCAGCTGTCAATTTGTAACATACCCAACAAGTGTCTTCTTCAAATTGCTGTGTTTTCTGAATTGAAAGCATTACTCCATACTTCTGAAAGAAAAGCCCTACTTGTATATATGCAACTGTTTCAGAAAAAAATATTCTGTTACAGAAGCTCAAATTCAGACAGCCAGGATAACTAATGAATTCCACCTTTTCTTTTTCTTTTTCTTTTTTTTTTTTTCCTTTTTTCTTTTTTTTTTGACAGTATTTGTATCAGAAGACCAAGGAACAAACAAAACTGAGACACAATTAAAGAGTACGTGTACATTCTGCTGGAAAATTTTCCAAGACCGATAAACAGTGTGGATACAATGGTGACTATGTAGTTTTACTTAGTAATTTACATAATTTACTGTATGGCATAATCTTGGCAAACATATATGAGGAAGGTCACTAGCCAAGGAGCAATGCTCAAGGGAAATAAAGATAGGCCTGGCATTGGGGCAAACATGCCTCAGCTCCATGGCAGCTGTTACCAAGTGAAGGCTAAGCAGGCAGCAAAGCATATCGTGTCTCCCTTCACTGTAAGTCAAGAAAGGCAGGAAGGGTTTACAGAAAAATTCAAAGAATGCCCAGGTGTCTTCTTTCTCAGCTTAACTTTTATGTATGTTAGATACCTTCCAAAACATAACAAGGCATTTCACAGAATACAGTATGAACTAGAAAGACAAGGGACTTCCAGACTACATGAACTGACAGTCTATAAAGGCATAAAACAAAACAATTCAGAACAACAGAATACAGATCAGACTGGCAAATGGTCATTAGAGCTGAAATGGAGCTTTACACAGGAGGGAAGGGAGGCCACCTGGCATGTATCAGCTGGCAGGCTGCTCCAACTGTGAGCAATGGTATGCAATAAGGAAAAGTCAGGAATGGATGAAGGAAATTATAGTACTATTCCTATCGATACAAAGCCAACCTATGCCAGTGGGGGTCCTTTAAAAATGGCTGGGTTTAATATTATACATCAAATATCTAGTGCCTGTTGAACACTATCATAAATTAAATCAATTCTGTTCCCAGCATGACACTGCTAACACCTTGGAATTTTAATTTAAGACAGAGATCTAACCACACCTTGTGCTTTTAGCATTTACATGAGGAAGAGATGTCTGTATGTTCCACTTTCCTGCTCCAAGACACAGTAAAAATTCATTCACTGAAATATGTTGTAATGTATGTGGGTTTCAGTTCAGAATGTGGAAGGGTTGTATTTGAAGATAAATGTGTATGAATTCTCACAGTTTCCCCCAAATTATTACCCCAGCACATGCATAACATTCATCACACCTTTCCAGGACTCTTTAGTAGATGTACTCTGCACAGAGGCCTAAAACATACAGTCAAAGAAAAATACCTAACCCAGCAGCTAAGGTAGCAACAGCAGCTGACCTGAAGATACAATCATAGAGAAGCCAGTGTAACAAACATCTTGATTTTCTAATCATTATTTTCACAATATTCCCACATTACCATACTTCCAAATCGGACCTTGGAGTATGCAGGGACCAGGTCAAAGATAGGCCAAGTTTAATGACACATGGTTCCTTGCTAGTTTTACACTACCTGCCGTTTCTGAGAGATAGGGTCTACAAAAAATATATGGTTTCTACTGTAAAACTGCAAAATTCTACGAAAAAAAAATCCCTTCACATTATCTCTGAAACCTGTTTTCTCCAGCCACTGGCAAATGGGCCTTGTGCAGCCCAAAGCTGCCCTGCACAGGCAGGCAGCTACTTCCACATCTTCTGCTCACAGCTTGCTGCCTTATACACCTTTATTACTTCAGGCTCTTCAGTCTGAAACTTGATATTTAACCAGAATTTCTTAGCTCCTCAGGCCATAGGCCTATCACAAAGCTTTTGTCCTTTTTAAATACAGACTTGTGACAATTCATTTCAAGATGACTTCTGCTTAAACCATATATAATGAACAATGTAGTTTATTTTGTCTACAGAACTCCCCAACAGTTTTTTAACCTTCTTATATCACCATCTCTCTTTTGCCCTTGTTCTATCAACTGTTTTTATTTAATTTTTACTGAGCTACTAAAACCATTGCTCAGTTTTAGTATTACTGTTTTCTTTATCTCTAATACCCAAGAACTGTAATAATCTACATATGATAAAACTACGCTGAATGTGATTTCTTTGAAAATCCTACAGTAAAATGAGAAAGCTAAAGAAATCTGATAATTGATTTAACTCATTCTCCTCGACAAGACCAGGAGAGTACCTTTCAGGAGCAAAGGAAAGGAAGATGATGAACAAGGTGAAGACGGGCTGAAACTACCAGAAACACTACCCATTGGTAGCTCAGCACCTTCAGTTCATGGATTTCATCACGGTGTGATAGGTTACAGGGTCCTTAATTCTTAGAAATGTTAAGGCATACTTTGAGAGAGAAAAGGGTATTCAATTATTTATTTGCGTGTGTGTGAAAAGGCTACGAAGTTCTACAAGGAAATGCCGTGATGCAAAGAGCAGTGATTTCAAGGAGTGATCTTCTGTGAGTGTTATTCCAAAACCCTGGACCAAACTGATTCCCTGTGACCTCTTCCCAGAGGCTTTTGAAGCCTTCAAGAGGCATTCAGTTATTCCTGACAACGCTAAACTAATGGTGCTGTGCTCATCTCCTAAGAGAAAAATGCATGATCCACAAGTCTAATTAATTCCATAAAGACCAAGGGCTTTTACGCAGCTGCTCCAGTTTCCTTCTCAAAGAGGAAAATAAAAAAAAATAAAATATAAATAAACGACTCTCTGGCACTTTGCATGGGGACCAGCACAGCCTTCTCCGAGGGCCAGCAGCCCTCAGGCATGCCCAGTTTTTATCCCCTCGGTGTGAGGCCTGCGGGCAGCCCGGCCATCGCCGGGAGACCCCCAGTCCCTTCACCGAAGCTCGCGGCCGAGGGCACCCAACGCCCGGCCGCCATCACCCAGCGACGGGGCCGCTTCCCCCGCGCCGCCATTTCCAACGGCTGCCTCCCCGCTCACCCCCGCCTGTCGCCGAGCCCTGGGCCCGCCCCCGCTGTAGGTGCGGCCTCGTCCCCAGCCACCCTCGGCCAGGTGAGACCCGACGGGGGCTGAGGTCCCCGGGCAGAGCAACCCCGGTCCTCCGCGGCCAGCGGTGGGGCCGTGCCGGAGCGGGAGGGCCGTGCATGCCGGTGTCCAGGCCGGCCCCGGCGGCGGAGGGACGGGGGAGCCCGGCTGTGCGCTGGAGGGACGCGGCCTTTGTGGCGCAGGGAAACTGATCAGCGGGGATGCCGGTGCTTGAATCACCCCGTGTCAAAACGGCACATCTTTCCAAAAATGAAAAGTTTGATTCTTTTTTTTTTTTAACTTCTTAATTCTGTAAGTTGCGTGTAAAGGCTGCCTCTGCCACTTTGGGCATAGGAACGCTGGCAGTCTTAGTATAGTTTATGAACGATCTTTTTGCCCATTTATTATATTAACTTGTGTTTTGAGAAAATATATAGCAGTGTTACAAACCCAGCTTTAAATATTCAATATGTGGAATTCATTTGTCTAGAAGATGCTAAAACCCTTCATCAGTGATGAACTGCTTTCCCTGGTGTGTCCCAGCCTACCATAAATCAGCACTGGCTTTGGGCCCGTGATGGTGAGTTATATGTATTAAAAGTCTTGGGTCTAAGCCTAGGTTCCCTGCCAAAAATAGTGTGTTTGTGTCATTCTTCAATGCGAATTAGTAGTAGATGCACATTCACTTTACTTTGCTTCACACTTTTGTCTCTGGAATAGAAAAATAAATAAACACAGCTTTCTCAACACTTGGACATTGATCAGAAAAATATACTCATATACTTGTGGAAGTAGTCCCTTTTAAGTCAAGGGACTAACCATGACTGCAGAGGCGTTAAGGAGTGCATGAGTCTGTCTCTCCCTTTCTCCCATGGGGTATATTAGTACTTAGTGTTAGGTAATTTACAGAAGCCTGAAGGTTTGTTTATGTTTACTGTTTGTGAAATACTTTCTTGCTTGTAACTTACAAGGGCACAATCCTTACAATGATGGGGCTACATGTACACAAAATACCACTGAAATGAGCTATATCACAGCATGAAACATTCTAGTTGGAAGAACAAAGTATACATAAGAAGATGTCATAGGATGGGGGTAATTTTGCAGGGTCCTGAGTGGTTTGTGAGAAAGAGGGTTAAAGGGCCCTTTGGACTGCTGCTACTTTATTTTTGGTGCGGGAAGCATTATAAAACTAATGATCAGTCAGTGTACAATTCAAGACATCTCAAGGTAAATTCTGAAAGGAATGTGTTCTTCCAAACATAAACATCTTTCATTGTCACTTAACTTTATAAACTATATTTTTCTATTCTTCATGGTTTGTCATTGACTGACACTTTAAGCCTGTACTTCTAGTTGGGCAGATGTACTAAAGTACATGGTTCAGCGGGGAAAAAAAGAAAAAAGAAAAAAAAAAAAACACTTGATTTGTGAAAGAAAAATGAGAAATGAGAGAACTGCTACTTTACAGCATTCTATTAAGATGTCATTAAAAAGATTTATTTGAAAAATATGCTAAAAGTGGAGGGCTTACATTTCAAGATGCTGTTGATTTTTTTCTAAAATAGCCCCTCTTTTTTTAAAGGTAATTCCTCTGGATTTTAATCCCTTTTTAGATTTTTAGATTTTACAGAGAGGATAGGAATAGGAGAGATGAAAATGGAAAAATATTGCAATTATCATATTTTCAGTCTTTTACATGTGTTACCCTGATCCATTTACAGTAATCAGCTTCATAATATGAATTGTCCCAACACAAATGGTAACAAACTTTAAATCTAGTTCACTTTTAGCTAAAGTTAGAAAGACCCATCTTGTTATGAATTTGACAGTTAGGAGTCTCTTCGGTTTTGTGAATCTATATAAAGTACATTCTGCAAATTAGTAATTGACATAGCCTGTATGTTTGTCAGTTTCAAAAACAACTGCATTGGTGACAAATACTAAGCCACATTTTAAGCCGTGAACTCTATTTGATGATTTGAAAATTAAAGATTTCTAGTGATCGTATGAGATGTCTAGTCCTTCAATACGAGTTCTTAACCTCAGAGGGTTTTTTTTTCTTTTTACTACCATGCACTTGCTAGATTTTACCAGTTTGCATATATTTCTACCCTTTCTGTGATCCATTGAAAGTCTTTAATTATTTGATCATGCTTTCAACTTTTTCTTAAACATATCATTTGAATTAGAACTTTTCAGTTTACACCATGCTTCCTCCACTTCAATTTAAGGATTAATTATTACCAGAAGGTTTTTTCTGTGAAATATGTCTACATGTTTTTTTACCAGCACACATATGTTTTTTTCCATGCTCAGCACCAACCGAGAGCTATACAATACAATGTGGAGATAAATTAATGTGATGTCGAGCCAAAGCTAATAAGCACTGCTGAAAAGCAAAGTGTATTAGCACAATATTGAACCCAAGTTAATATATCAACATGGCTTCCACTTGCTTTTCACTCACACAGAGCTATTTGCACCTTCTTTCAAAGCCCTGCATGATATACTTGTTAGTGGACTGGGTCTATGAAAGCCAGGTACACTTTATGAGAAAACAGTGAAGAAAATTAACTATTACTTTCTATGTCTTCTGTGTAATTCTAACTACAGCGGTGTTTGCAGATACTGTAGCTGTCCACCTTGCTAAGTAGCTTTAGCCTGATAAGCTTGTTACAAATGATATGGTTTCTAAATTCCATTTTCTTCCTAATCAAAAGAATGAAAATGAACTAATGTTTCTGACAACAGTATGCTATATGTTTCTAATTTCTGTGTGTTTATATTTTTCCATTTGTATTTCATTTACAGTCAACTTGGAGGTTTACAATAATTGTTCCTTGTTAAAATAGAATGCTGTTTAACATCAACTGGTTTCATCACATTTTCCTAAATGAATGGTGATATATTTTTTAAAATAGAATGATGTTCTAATCTTTCAACTGTGTAAATTGTTTATGAAGTCATGCAATTTGTCACTGAATTCCTAGCTCATTTGCAGTTGTTTATCATCTTATAATATTTTAAACTTTCTGTTGCTCTCTGGTTGTGAGAGATGAGTATTACATCTAAACTTTTCTTCATGTGAAGCTATACTTATATTCACCTGGTCAGCATATTCTTCTGATCTGTTTAAAAAAACGGTTTCAGGCTCCAAAAAACTCCAGAAATTAAAACTAATTTAATCTTGCAAGTACTCTTTACTGAGCTGAAGCAATGTACATAAGCAAGATATAACAAATGAATTAGAAGCACAGTCTTTTGATGTGTTTTCTCTGAGTTGATGAGCACTTTCAGTTTCCACAGTGAAGGTGCATGTTGTCTCTTGTGACTGGTTCTACCTGCTATTTAAGACTGACAGCTGCTTTTTACGTTCAGCGGCCCTTCACATTCTCCTGACTTCAGATGAAATTGCAAATATTCTGCATGATCAAAAAGAGAAGTGGGAGGCTTCCGTATCAATCCCTTCACTTTCTACTGTTCTGATTCTCCAACTGCAGAAATCCCTTAACTCACATTGACTTTAGCAGCCCTCAAAATAACTTAAGTGTTTGGTTTGAGTCTTAGGGTAATCATTCTCAAAAGAGACTGCTGAATATGAAAGAAGATAATTTGTCTAAGAAGTCTCTGCCGAATATCTCTAGATGGAGTGGTTTCTATTGCAGCTGTTCCATATGATTCTCTTCTTTTATATTAAATGTTAAGCTTCTCTTTAAAGGAATTCTGATGTTTTCCAGTGAGCACTTGATAAAAAAGAATAATAAAAAAAAATTTGTGTTAAAGATGATTTTCACTCATTTTTAAACCATGAGGAATCCTTCATTGTTAAAAATAAGGAGTGATGATAAAATTACAATTTTAACTTGGAATGCGAGGAAAGGCATCATTGAGCATTTGATGCATAAAAAAACGTTTTCCAAAATAGCATCAATATTAAGTTTTTGGAACTTGATTCTCTTGTGGTAGCCATCTGATGCAGTTGATACACATATTATGAAAGCTATTTAAGAATAGTATTTGTATCTTTTAAAATATTGTTTGAGTTTCAATATAGGAATTTTTTCATGTCAAATCCTATATAAATTTTGTTGTTTTTTTATTTGCAGGGTAGTATATAAGTGTCTTTACTGACTGAAAACCTGAATTTTTTTTTTTTTTTTTGCTGGGAAAGCTGGAAAATGTTCAAAAATCAGTATCAGGTAAAACACAAATACTTTTAATTTTTAGCCTCTTCCATTTCACCTTTGAGAGAACTCAATTAAAATGGCTTATTCGGGGGGAACAAAAAGTCCAGATACAGAAATGTTTTAGGAAGTGTATTATTCAGTATTTTTATTAAAATGTTATGAAATAGTGGGTGGCTACATATGCTGTGAGGTTTGGAATGGATATTGACATGGTGATATCAGTGACTGTTTTTCTGCCTGGTCCCCTGTGGGCTAGGGAAGGCGCCCCATCTGCTCCCACCCACCATGGAAGCAGGCCCAGCTCTTAAGGTATAGTCAGAACGGGACGGTTTTTTTCTCTTCCTGGTCCAGCACAGGTTACCTGTCAGTTACCACCGGCCAGCAGAATCACATTGTTCACAAACTTTAGTATCACATTTTCTGTTTCTTGGTCTTCCTTTTCATTACTCTACTTCCCTTTCTCTACACCAGTCCCCTCCCAAGAAAGCAACCCACCCCAATTACTTCTTCACAGTAGTCCCAGATGTTCTACATCTGTACGTGAAACATATTTCTGGTGCTGTTACCTAACCTATCGCAGCTTTATATGGTATTAATGATATGGGCACTTAGGTGCTGTTCGCCTTGTAGGAGTGCAGTCCCCAAAAGATGCCTCATACTGCCCTCCAACTCCATCGCTCATGGAGTTTGACAGTTCCTTGTATAACTCCTCCTCAACCGCCCACGAGATCCAGCCATCCATCACGGCACTGTCAGTAACTTCTGTCAGCTTCTCATATCGGTGCTTGTTATATTCAGCATTTTCTCATGTTGTGTCCAGTAGTAGTTTTCCATGTCCTGTTCAGTTATTTTAACATCAAGACAGAGCATACTCACGGGCTGCAGCGTTAACAAAATGTACCTGTTTATATTTTGGAGAAAATTCCAGTTGTTTGGAAAGATTTGTTACAAACATACACACATTGGCAGTAACAACTTTCTGACAGCTTGGTCCTGTAGCCCTTAAATATGTCTGATAACTTTTTAAATCGATAGTACATCGTATTTTTTAAATTCTTTTTCATCCATTATGAATTAAAAATGTATTTTATGGATGCTGTTTATGGAATGCCATTTTTAATCTCCTTAGAACTTAGTAAGTGTAGTCACTGGGGTTATCTGTCAGGCATGGGGGAGAAATAATTTATATATGGTACAGAGTTGATGTTCTCTGAAAGCATAATTTGAAGCATTTATTTTGCTGGCACGACTGCTTGCCCCTCTTGCTCATACTGACTTCTGTACAATTGTGTGGGCAGCTGAGCATAAAGAGTATTGGGAAGTGCATACAACTAGAAGTGAGAAGGGAGAGACAAAGTTGTAGTGATTGATTAGGTTGACCATAATGCTGAAAAAATGCTGATCAAACCATAGCCTGAGTACATCGGAAGACATTTTCTGTGACATCAATTGTGAAAAACACTGAAGCAGATAATTCCATAAGAAGAGCTGATAAAGCCTGCTTCCCTAAATGCTTATGGTTAAATTCTTTGATGTCTTTATATGTTTCGCAAACTGTTCTGTCAAATCAGGCTGGAATTTGGTAACTAGTAGAAAAGTTACAGGAAAATGTCTTTGACATACTCACACATGTAAACAGAACCAGCATGACTCTGTAAACTTAATTTCCTTAGGATGTTAGACAAAACATCAAACATGCAACAATTTTTTTGATCATTTAGCAGTATGTTTTAAATCTCACTTTATTTGCTGAGTCATAGAAATAAGGCATATCTAAGTATAAATTGGTAATCTTCAGCATATTTTTAGATTTTTTACAGTAATTTTGCTTTTCAGAGAATGAAATACATATATATTTTGAGAATGAAATATATATATTTCATGATATTGCTTAAAATTTATGTTCTGATCTTCTAATAAAGATAAATATTGACTATATGCATTGCTATACTGTAGTAGTCTAGAGGCTGTTAATACACTATTGTCTGACTGATCAGTAATACTGACTGGTATGGGGTGGGATTGTATTTGGTACATCACTGGTACTCTTGACCAGTGATGATTCTGTACTGAATATTTGGTTGGTTGATGCATCCTTAAATCATTTTATCATAGGGTGGTCCATTTGTTGAAATATTCAGTGCCCAAGGCAAGAACCCAGGAGCAAAATGGAAGATTTTTGGCAATCCTTCAGCTATATGGAAAGTAAGTTTTTAAGAAACTTATTAAACCTAGAGTAGAAAACTTAGAAAAATGTGAATGAAACTTTATTTTAAGATGAAGGATTATATTAGGATGCTTATGTTTGTTTGTTTTTGTAGGAATATGATAAAGAAATAAAGGGCTTTGTTTTTGTACTTGAAGGAAGCAGTCAAATCAACAGAATGCAGCTACCAAAGGAAACTAAACAAGCTCGTAAGTGCCAAAGTACTAAATGTCTGTGATGCTGTTCTGATTATTAAAGCAGTCTTATATCGGAATGTCAAACTTGTATTATTCTCCCTTAATTTGAGCTTAGTTCAGCATTAGCAAAGTGTTTTTTCACTAATTTTTTAGTAGGTCAGCACAAATAAGTAAAAGGTATAGAAATGCTGAGTTAAAGTTCTTAAGGGAAGATCCTTGGTTGCTGTATATTGTCCTAATTCTGCTGGTTTGCTTCTGTATCTGTTCCTGCTACAGACTGATGTCTGTCAAACACCGTCTGATTCTATCAAAATAACTGGTGCAGTTGGAAAAAATAGATAAGCTTTCGGGACATGTGTGTTAGAGCACTTGTCTTTTCTTATTTCTACTTCATCAATTTGTCTAATAAAAGATATTATCACTATACATGAATTTTGTATTAACTGAAATCACTTTGGTGTGGTGACTTTTCACTCAAAAAAATCCCCAAAAGTGGTATGAATAATGCTGTATTTTTACATTTCTTATTCAAGTATGTTTTTGCTATTGAGTCTGAGATTTTAGCACACATTATTGTAGTCAAGTATGTTGTGTAAGAGCTAGATCTTCCACTTGTTTAAATCAAAATCATAACGTTTATTGGAATGAATTAAGCCCCATCATTTGCACCAAAACAAAGCCCCAAAATCAAAGCAGTTTGTGTTGCAGAGGACATACAGCAATCATCTTAATTCATGCCTTAAATTCCACTGCAGGGTGTTGTATATTATAGGGCTTGTGGTAATGAACCAAGCTGTTTTAGGTTTAACCACATGCTTTTGAAGAAAAATTGAGTTGGTGATTTTAATTGATTAAAGTAGGAATTGTCTAATATACTTCTCATGCATGGTATTTAATTACCAATTAATACACTTTTTCTCAAACATACAGAAAAAATAATAAATGAGAAGTTATTTAGTCTGGTTATGCACTAAAGCCTTGAAAAATAATCTGATTTTTATAAAAAAGTTCAGTATTATATTCAGTATTGTAAATATTAGACTAATGTATCTTTCTGAGAAATCCAACCTCAAGTTGTTTATTGCCAATCCTAAAATAAACTATTACAGCCTGAAAAGAGGCTTGAGAATTACTGCTGTGCATTATCACTGCTAAAAATAGTTTGGTTTTAAATCAACTTTAGCTAGTGCTGCAATACTGTAGCCAAATTCCCATCTCTTACCATTCTATCTCCCTGTCTCATTCTGTTTTCAGGTGTGTGCCTTAAGTATTTCATTTCTGTCAAGTATACAATCTCCCAGTTGTACTGTAAATTTGGAATGCTCTTCCAGAATAAAAGACATTATGTACACAAATATAATTTGAAATCTTAAAATGTTATTTGACCCACAAAAGAAAAAAGTTTTGAATTGGCGTTTTTCAGAAGAAGAAATAATGTTGCTGTTGAGTCTTGCTAAATCAATGAAGACCAGCCCATATCCTCACAGGTGGAATAGCTAACAAAAACAGAATGTTCAATTCACACAGCTTTGTACTATGTGTTTTTTGCCAAATTCCAGGATTCCCTGGATCCCTAAAGTTTTCTTGTGTTCATTGCCTCAGTTAAGCATGATTGTTGTAAAAATCAGAATACGCCACTCAGCATTGTTGCAGTAATCTGGATTGCGTTTTTACTCAAGATTTTTTTAAAGTTATTAGTAAGGTTTACATTGTCACAAATGTAAAAGGAAGCTTCATCTAATTTTAAGATAATCTTGATATGAATGTATTACTTTATTTTATAATTGTTGCAGGATGTTTGGTTCACATGCTCTTGGAACACAATATAAGTGTACATAAAAAATTGGTTCCTTTTATTTTCATGAGAACTCCTCTAACGACACAGATGAAACCTCTAAAATAACACTTTCACTGCAGTTTCATTTTTTTTTCGTGTTCATGTGTTTCGTGAACCTTGGAAAATAGTATTGCAAGAGCAAAACTGTATAGTACAGCACTGAAATGCTTGATGGTGAAAGGTGTATTTGTACGCACACAGCATAATTATTTTTTTTCTGTTTCTAGTGGGACTGATCCAGCAGTTTCTGACACTTCAGATTTTTGTGCCATTGGGACAAGACTTCTCCACTGAGTTACTGTAAGATGCATAAAATTTCCTTGAATGCTTAATGTAAAGTGGATGCCTGATTGCAACCATTAATTGTAATGGCAGATTTTCCATTAAAGCACAATGACTTACCAAGTCAATAAGAAGTAATTAAGCTAATGAGATCATTATTTCTTGGATATTTTAACTACTGACATTCTTCTGAAGATTAAAAAGATTCTTAAAATCGTGAATGAAGATGGTAAGGCTGAAGAAATGGGACTTGAATTTATCAAACAAAATATTGGCTCACAGGGATCTCCCAAAAATTGATAAGAAATTTATCAATCATTATTCCAGGGTCCATTGCTTTAGGGGAAAAAGAAATATTCTAATAATTAGATTAACAAAATAAATATTATGTCATTAGAAGCCCTGCAAGAATAGATGAGTTAAATGATATGTAATTAAACTGGGTAAACTCAGTGCTGAATTTTATTTTTGTTTGTCTTTCTGTAACTTCTCTGTTCTTTGATGAATTTCCTGAGTGTAGTTCTGCTTACACTTTCTGCTCCTATGGTTTTAATTGCTGTATTACTTCTAAAAGTGTTTAGCAAAAGGGACTAAATAAACAAGATAAGTCATGCAGTAAGCAGAAACCAAGTACACAGATTTGCTTCTCATAGGCATTCTGTAGACAGATGGCAGAGGCTTAGTGCCAGGTTCAGGAACATATCTTCAAATTGCCTATGGTTTTGTACTGGGTTTGGTTCTTCTGGCCGTTCATCTATACCTCTTATCAAGAACTTCTCTGCAATTCTTCCTCTTTCATTTTCCCTTTTTTATCACTTTCTTTTATTTCTTCTTTTTTTTTTTTTTTAATAACCATGAGAACTCTAATTTTCTACTGCCTCTTCCCTTGTTCTTTGCAGTTTCTCTTTTGGGCTTATATCAAGGCTTTACATTTTCTCATTGCTTTTCTTGTTACCTCCCATTGCATTTGTATTTGCTATATATAGCATATATAAACATTCACTACATAGACAATATTTGACTATATTTACTATATAAATTTAATATATTTAAATAGTTGTAACTTTTATTTTTTACTTCTTTTCTTTTTTCTGTTAACATTCCAGATTCTAAATCAGTATTATCAGACAGCCTGGTAGAAATCGTAATTCTCTCTCCTCTTACATGCAGTGGTTTCAGTGCCTATGTTGATGAAGTAATCTGTCTTAATACATTTCCACTGAATTTTTATGAAAGAATAAATGTTTAATTCAGTGTAACTGTTTCACTACTTAATTATGTTGTAATAAAATTGTGCTTATGCATTCAAAGTAACCAAAGCTACCTAAAGGTGTATATGTAGAAGATGGTAGAAACTTATTTCAAAAAAGTAATGTTTTGTATTAGAAATCATCTGTAATTTATTGATGTACCAATAAACTCTGTGCAAATACTTGCAAAATAGACACTGTATTTTATTTTGGCAGACTCATGATAATCCAGCAACTAATGAAGGCAAGTCCTTCCTTCTTGTTGCTTATACATACTAGTAATAAGTGACTGCCATTCAGTTCTTTTTATTTCAAATGTTTTGAAAGGAATCTGTTGCTTGTTTGTGGACAGAATATTGATTGTGCTGGTGCTTCATGGAGTTCAATGGTCCAAGACAGTTTTTTACATAGTCTGGCTACGTACTTATAGTTTAGTCTTACTACTGAATCCTTGAGTAGCTTCATGTGAAAATTCATACCATACCAAGCCATCATACATGCAAATTTATTTTTAAGTAAAAAACACTTTGGCAAGTTTTATAACAGCAGCAAATGATGCTTTATGGTACATTTCTTCCCCTCCCATTCTGCGTTAAGTAGAAATAGTATGAATATAGTTTGAGCTTCATCCTCACTTCTGCATTTTATTCAGTGACTTATCTGATCAGCAAACAAGAATTTCTTCAAGGCCATCCATCACTGCTGGCGTCAGCTGAGCTAAACCTTCTAACTTGCTCCTTTCAACCAGTCATGCAAGATTCCTGTCATAAATACTGAATGTGCAAACAACTGTTTAAATTATCTGTCTTGCCTTTTCTTTGGAAAAAAAAATTAAGTAGAAATGTAGGTACTTTGTTAGAGGGCATGAATAGATGAGTATCACCACATTAACAATCAATGTATTGATCTGCCTAAGAAATGTGTAAAATAAATTGTGGATGAAGAATTTGGTGAAGCATAATAAAATCTGAAATAAGGTAGAGAGCATGTAATTTATGCAGCCTTTTTGAAGCAAATAATAGCAAAGCTGTTAGTAATACTGGATATAGCCATCTGTTGTAAATGTAGTAGCTGGTTGTTAAATCCTCAGAATTATGGATTTTGCTACCTTTCTGAAAAAGCAAAAGTAGCTCAATGTTTGGAAAATATTTGTGCATAAAAGAAAACAGCATCTGGCTTGTGTTGGCATTCTTGGTTTAGTTCCCAATATATGGACATGTGCAGGTGCTAGCATTTCTGCTTGGCATCTTGTCAAGCACACATACATTCATTCTTAAAATACTATAATGCCAGTCATTTGTCATACTTTATTCCTGATGTGTTTTTATTAGATGTTAGGTATCATGGGAAATTAGTAAGTCATATAATAAGTTTTACAGCAAACAGGTAGAGTTGTTGATGTGAGAAAACAGACCTTTAAATTGTACTATAGATTTCTCCCCTCCCAACAGAGAAAAGTATAGAGATATCTGGGGCACGAACAAGAGTTAGAGTTCTCTTTCTGGTTATGTACTGAAATGCTGTGTGGCCTTGTATATATCCTTGGAATTTGGTCTGCCTTTTTTCTTCCCCCCAAGTTCTTTCATACAAGTTGTGGGAGTAATATTTCTCAAGTTATTTTGAAAGTACATTACAGAGAGTTAACTGCATCATTGTTGCATGATACTTTTAAACATCCAAAACACTGAAAATTGGAGTGGTTATAAATTTGTCCTACTTGTCAGATATAAAAAAGGATTCATGCAATTAGTATAGAATTGAAAACAAAATTCACAGGCCTGGTTTAGAAATAAGTCACTAGTTATATTGGCATTTGTTCTGAAAAAAGATGGGTATTTTTCCTCCCCCTGGTCAGGATAAATCTGTTAGCTTTATTCTGCAGATATGTCTAATTTCTCACATTTGATGACTTTGACTGCTTCTGCAGCTGTAAACCTATTCTAAGTCTTCTTATATCAATAGTTCCATTGTTCATTCAAATAATCAGTATAAAACATGAGGCACGGAGAAAGACTTTTTTCATTGTTGAAGGTTTTGAGCCTTTTTCTAGAGTATTGTCAGGTATTTTGCAGCTGCAGAACAAGAATATTCCCAAGTGAGTAATTTCTTGTTTCTTCAGTTATTGAAGGCGAGAATTCAGAATAAGTTTTTCATGTTATTATAACAAAAAAATATATATATATTAAAAACTGTAGGTTCAAAATTTGTTGTAAATGTACATTTTTTCCAAGGCTGGAAAGAAAGAAATGAGGATGGTGGTGCTGAATACACATCCTTAAACACTGATGGAATTACTCACACCTGGAGGCACAGGTGGCTAAAAAGTGGAGTGTTATCAGTTATTTGGTGATAATCTTTTTATAGTAACTTATGAGAATTAACAAAAAAATAAAAAAGTGATCAAATCCTGGCACAATTAAAGCAGACAAGACTAGCATGATATCTGATTCTGACTAATACACAAATTCTGAGGTTCTGAATGGCTGATGTCCTGATGATATTACAGAATAAATAGCTGTGCTCTAAGACTTTATAAAGTGAAGAAAAATATTTATTATGTGTATTTTAGCTGGTGCATCACTTTAAATAACATGCAGTAGATTGAATCGTGTATGTTTGGTTGGTAGGGTTTGTTGTTCTGGATGTTCATATGTCGAGTAAGATAAATGTAGGAACCAGTGTTAGCAAGAAAACTTAGTTTTGTCTTTTTAAAGGCAGAATTCTTAGCAATTCACATAATTCAGTAATTAGAATAAAAGGTTTAAATGTGAGAAAAATGTCTGTACTTAAAAGATGTATTACATATAGCAGGTATGAATATAACCTTTTCTTTGTAAACATGAAAAGACTGATCGTCTCTCTTGAGTAGATAAATTCGTGGAACGAAAAATAAAGTGAAAAGAATAATAGCCAATAAAGTAAAGAAAAGACACAACAGAATTAGTTACAGGCATAAATAACTGCATTATAAGGATAATTTGATTCTGGAAAAGATATATGCACTAAACTTTCCACATATTAATACTCATTAGAGTACTTTGTCTATACTGAACAAATCAAAACCTATTTTCTAGAATTACAGTTTTCTAAATGATTTGCCACAGCTGGCTGTGCTTCACAGGAACATACCACCATGCCGTTAAAAAGAATTTACTAAATACTTGAAAATGAGAGAAAGAGCCACATGAATGAGCAGGTATCAAAACCAAAATGTTAAAATATTTATAGAAGATTCCAGAACATGTAAGAAAATATCAGTGACCATTTCCACAGTGTTTTTTTGCAGGGGGAGGTTGGGGAAGTTTGTGAAGTTCTATGTGTAATGAAGCTTTTACAACAAATTATTCTTGATCATTGAAAATATCAGATCATTCCGTTGGAAAATTGATTGCAAGTATGTCAATATCTTGCAGAGAGAGCTCAGGAATCACCATTTCTTCATAATTGCTAGCATTTGGAAAGCTTTAATATTCTAGCTGTCAGATTTCATGATTTTCTTTCTGAACCAGCCACCTGTGGTACTGCCTTTTTATGGATACTGTTTAAGGGGACTTGTGTGGGTTTTTGTTGTTGTTTTGGTTTGTTGTTGTTTTCTTTTTTTTTTTTCCTTGTCTCCAGAAAAAGATTATCAACATAGAAAATTCCAGCATATAAAAAGAAAGATGGTTCTTTGCATCTTGTTCCCTAGGCCTATGTGACATATAAATCTTCTCAGTCTTTTGTTTTGTAGAGATTGATTGATTATCACATAACTAAGTCTGTTTTAATGAGGGCAGGATACAGTGCTCTGGATTTCAGAAGATCAGACAGGCAGTTCAATAAGATAATATCTCCTACAAGACCAATTTACAAGTAGCGAGTAAAATAAAACATGAATGAAATACAGACCATTCCTAAAAAAAAAGCAAATTTAAGAATCTGTGACCATGGCGAATCACTTAACCATTATTATTCCTCTGTTTTTCTGTCTTTAAAGTGGCGCTGATGATGGTGCTACCCAACATTTGTGAATCATGTAGCATTTATGGAGAAAAAGGCCCTATGATAACTAAGACCTAATATGCTAACATACTAATAGTTAAACTTTACCAGAGGATTCTGCCTGGATTTCAACCAGGATATATAGAAATTTCCATGAATAATAAATTGCATGACAGTTGCTCTTTGCATAGCAACATTAATGAAATATCTGCTTTCATGTTTGGTAAACTTCCAGGTTAAGTCATTTATAAGGAGAAAAACACTTTCATTTTAAGAACAAGTGAGCCTAATAAATGAAGCATCCCTTCAACAGTCCAATGTCATTTTTTAAGTTCATTTTAAGCCTTGAATTGAACATTAACAAATGGTTATAAATTATTATACATACAGCATAGCAAAGTGAATAGGTAATCTGAGAAGATGAGTTTATCTATACTCTTGGGTAGTTGCTACTATTTACTTGCAATCTCACTATAGTTACCATTGTGAGGAGAATAGTCAATCAAAGTAGACTATATAAAATAAAATTGAAAATTGAATTGGAAGGTAATTTTACTTTCAAATGTTTTGCAAATGTAGATGTTAAGTGTGAAATGAATGCAGTTAATGGCCATAGCTGGGAGAGTTATGCACCTGCTGATCACAGGAATATTATTATAAATGAGGTTGATTTTCCTGTTGACTACCTCATTTTTCTCAACATGGTCTCATTACTTTTCTATCACATGTCTGACCCTTAGATATAAATACTCAAACACAGATGTAATAAAAATACATTAACTCTTAATATAGATTTTTTTAAATACATCTTTGAAAATCAAGAAGTGTAGTACAGATGTTTCTTCTTTTTAGGTTTAACATAGGTGATGCTGTTTGATAAGAGAAAAAAGGTTGAGTTTCAACACAAGTACTCTTGAATCTTTTTACAAGTGAGAGTTCTAAAGTTCTAACTCCCATTGTCTGAATTATTTCAAATAAGTGTTTCATCAGACATTTGTTTCATTTTATTTTCCAAGGAGCAATGTAACTGAGTCAAAGTTTCACCAATTCCTGAATAATTCTCTTTCTTCTACAAAAACATAAATTATTTTATAGAATTTTAACACCATCTTCTTCTCCAATTTTGCCCCTTCTTTAAATGTTTACCTCATTTCTACTGTAGAATATAAATATTTTTATTGTTCTAAATTTATCTGAAATAAGTTTTAAACTTCTTTAGGTGTGATTATAACTATATATCTAGGGTTTGTTTCTTTATAGCATACATGCCATCACAAAAAAGCATTTTATTTTAGACATATATTTCTGATATAAATGTGTATATTTTTATCTAAATGACTGTTTTGTATTGCAGTTCAGAATGCAAATGAGCTTTACATTTAGTAATGTTCTTTTTATTACAGTGAATATTTTTCAGAAGGGAGAAAGATAAAAATATTCATACAAAAATAAACTATGTCATTTCAACATATTTCTTGAACTAATGTTATAAAGTGAAATTAAGATTTTATAGCCAGTTATTTGGAGATATGCATGGCTTAAGTTCAGGGTCCTACTGTTTTGTCATGGCATCATTTAAAGCAACATTCTTCATTGAGAATAACTCTGAGTTTCATCAGGAATAGTATTTTTATTTGTTTTTCAGCACACGGGTTACTGCCACTACCTGGTTCCTCAGCTATACACATAACCAGGACATGTAGGGGAGTTTCAAACAACCACTACTTCAGTTCTTTAAAATTCTTTGGTGTCTTAGTTTCATAGCACTTCTGAACAGCAGGATTTAGAGCAGAGTAGAGAGTTTCTGAAAAAATGCAGCCATGGGTTTTTCATCAATGAGTATATGAGAATTTCATATATCATATGAAATATGATGGATGGAACTGAGCCTGGACCTGGGGCACAGGTTTAGCTATGTGGCCAATTTGCTCATGATATTAAGTGAATTATTTCACATTTTACCCCAATTTCTTCAAAAGCAAAACCAAGCCCAGAATGCTATCATTGTAAGACGCTTTAAGGTCCTATGGTGAAAGCACTTTTCAGGGGGTTGATGGTATTATTCATCCACTCATAAATATATGTGCAGCTGATACTGAATTCTACTCTCAATAGCAGTGCTGAGGATGCAATGCTTTACCCTGGCACAGAAGTGAAATTCCTGCCTTTGAGGTGCATGCAGTTTATTTGAGGAACTACTAGTCTCTCTAAAGAAACTGCTAGTAGGCTCTTCCACTCCATTTTGATTTACCCACCAATTTTATGAGGACGGATAGATTAAAGATCAGGCGGCAAAGATCAGCAAGGGAGAGCAAAGAAGCAGCAAGACCTGTAAGGCCTGTGAACTTTTTTTGCTTTGCCTGATGCTCATAACAACTTGGGGAAGCAACCTGTTTTTATCAGCTGTACTAGTAGAGCCCTTTAATATTCACATACGTGCAGTGTTTTTTGAACTGAATGCTGTCGTGGGTTGAAATTTTGAATTCACAAAAATAGATGAAATGTGTAACTTGCTCCAGAGTTAATGCCTTTCTAAGTTGACCCAAGGAATCCCAAGAACGTTTCAGGATGTTTATGAGCAAATTTTGGGTGACAGCATTTCATTAGTTCAGCTACAGGTAGTCCTTGCTAATTAAAAAGTGTTTTAATTTAAAAAATGTGTAGCCTACAAGGCAGTCTCACAAGTTTAAAGTAGAACTCAGCATTTAAATCATAATTATTTATGAGTAATTACTTTTTATAAGAAATGAAAACTGACAGAAAGTTGTTTATTGTAATTATTTGTCCTCTTGTCAGAGGGACTGCTAATTATAGAGAAATACCCATCTGTTAAAAATGGGCTTGTTCAAAAATAATAGGTAAATTAATCATCATTTCCCCACAGAGATTGCAACCTTTAAAGTCTGTTCTCCAGTTTCACAGGGTGGTATTGCTGGGCGATATCAACATTTTGCTGCTCACAAAACTTGAAGAAAGCAGAGCATAAGCAGTCTCTTTATCAGTTTAAAGAAAACCTAATCTTTGTGATCACGGCTGTGGTCTAAATCTATTAAAAATGTTCGAATTCAGTGTCCTTGGTGTCACTGTGAGATGACCTGAATCGTGAGCAATAAACTTCTGTATTATGTTTCCCATTTGAAGGTATGTGCTCAGAAAGTGAAACGATCAGACAATGTCTTATTTTTAAGCCAACAAAGAGTCTATATAAAATGACAGAGGCATTTTTAGGAAAAGAAAGCAAATAATGTTTTTCTAGTTAGCAGGTGACAGTGTGTCCCAAGATAACACAAGCTTAAGGGGCAGAAACAAGTGCGATTATTAAAGGCTACTGGGTTCGCACTTCAAACAAATTGAATTCTTTCATAGTCTGAAGGGCTATGGAAATCCAGGAAAGAGTGTAGACTGTTGAAATAAAATTAGCATGTAAAGTGATTTGATATATGCAGGAATATAGCCACCAAGGTTGAATTTGAGAAAGAAATCTCATTACTCATCTTGTAAAAGAAGTAATTCTTAAATTCTCTATTGCTATCACTGACATAAAGGTTCTGCATATGAATAACAGGGTTTTTTTGTGATTGCCAAAGATACTAGATTATTGAATTGACAAAGATCCATTCTGTTCTCTCCTGCTTTTGTTTTGCAGGATAACTGATTTAGGAAATATTAAAAGAAGATTGTATTTATCAACAGTCCACAAGGAGTTGTCTGTAACCCCTCTGCATGCAAAAATTCCTCTACACATGATCAAGCGCAAAATAGTAGGTACTTCAGGAACATTCCTTGAACTGTGGTTGAGCAGACTTTTTTAGCAGAAGGATTTCATTTAATTCTACAGCTCTGCTGAAATTACTGTTTGTTTTAGAATGCAGTTCCTGTCAATTCACAGTAAGTCTATGCCCCATCTACTGGATGATATCAGAACCACTTCATACTTCTACTCTTCCAGCCTTCTACCAGGAAGAGTTCATTCCCATTTTCCAAGATTAATACTGATTGTGATGTGTTTATCTGTCACTTTAACTGTCTATTCAGCCTGTGTACAAGTTCTCTGTGTCTCTAATTCTTCTCTTTAGTGTTCCTGTTCACATGTACCTTCTCCTGTGGTGACCTTTTACGTTTGCTGGAGCTGCAGCTTTCAACTGTAGCTGATGGCTACTTTCATGTGCTTCAGGATTCTCCAGATCCCAGAATATGTAAAACACTCTGTATTTCAAACTGAAGAAGATAAAGCAATGGCCGTCACCTTCTCCCCTATCTTCTTCTATCCCATACCCAGCCCCAGCATATGATAATACCTGTCAAGACGGAATACTTGAGAGGTTACCATATAACCTTCTAAAGACTCAAATCTCAAATACTGATTTAGAAAATACTTTGAAGATGTGAATAGCTAGATTTCAACTAGATAACAATTAGTGCATTAAAGGGTTGTGGATTTGAGGCTAGACATGAGAGATAATATTTTACAGAAGCCTCTGAAGTTATGACTTATTTTAAGGTAATTTAGCTGAAGGCTGCCATTGTAATTTTAGATTTCAGGAGTTTTCTACGTTCTGGAAAAATCTGATTTTAAAAAAAAAAAAAAAATTAATATGCATCAGATCATACCCATGAAGTTGCCATTATTTCAGCATCCACTGAAATAAAATTATTTTTCTTCAGTATGATTTCAGTTAGTTGCTCTTGGTCTCAGGCTAGCAGAAATGTTTCAAGATTAAAGTATGCATTAATGTATATTAAATTAAATTCAATCAGAATATGAACTTCAGTTATGTATTTTAATTTAAATAATCAAAGATTCATCAGAGACCTAAATGCTCTGTTCAATTATAATGACAAAATATTTTAATAAACTTAACCCTTTACCCTTAAAATGCCCTAACTCTTAAAGAGTAGGTTTGTATTTCTTGGAGTATATGGATACAAAAGAATCTATCTTTTTTAAGTGATTATCTCCCCTTTTCGTTTGCAGCTTTTACTTAAAGAAAGGGGAATATTACTTTCAGTGACTAAGTAGGTCTTTTACAAGGCTATGATAGTTTAACTTATTTTATACCTTAGCTGATTAGCTATTCATTCTGTATTATAAAAATATTTATAAATCTGTATTATAAATCTTTATCTGTATTATAAAAATAATTATAAAAAAGCAATATGCAATGTTCAAATGGAAAAAAAAAAAACATAGAGAATTTTAAGAACTACTGGAATAGTGCAGAAGAGTGTAAGACGCTGATGTTAGTGTTCTAACAGTGTTTCCTGAAACAAACAGAACAATTATCTGATGCGGATTAAAATACATATTTAAGTGAGATTGTCAGCAACCGAGTTAGTTGTCATTATTTCATTTGTTTTCCTGAAATGTCTTAAAGGAGTGGATAACATTTATTATAAATGAGAAGTAATTTTAAGATCTTATAGTGCACTGGGGTCTTGTCCATACTGGAAATTTGCCTGAGTGTATAAGGGACACAAGCTTGGGAGAGGTCATTTCTTACAAATCCCTCCCAAAAAAATAAATAAAAAATCTCCATGTACAAGTATAACCTTTGGAGCATTTAAGCACTTAAGAGCATAAGTAACTTACAAAGTAATGTTGACTATTTTTTTCCAGAATACCTTCAATAAATACATTTTCATACAAGTTGCTTACTTTGAAATAGCTGTAAAACATATTATGGATATGCTAGGGAACTGAGTTCACTTGGACTGGCAGTCAGTAGGTGATACGTAGTGATTTGTTCGTATAAAAAATAGTCATAAAAGCAAATACAGAAATACCTTTTTTAATATCAAAATGTTATGCATTATGGATCAGAGCCTGTGAAATCTAATATTCTTCAGAGGCTTCATTTATTGATAACTATACACTATTACTCTTCTGCAATGATTAGTGTTTGGGTTTTATTAAAGAATAACGTTTTCTTTTTCTAGTGGTGCAATATGTGTATTGACTTGGTAGCATTCACCAGTGAAATATTCAGAGGAGCTGTCTTCCAGTCTTTGGATGGAATTATTATTTCAGCTAACTGTAAGCTAAGAAAGATCTTCACTTTAAAATCCAAGCCTCAAGATACAGCCGAGGAAGATGGTGTGTTATAATTACTTTGTAGACTTAATCATAACTGTTCATGTTATAAAATCAAAAGCTTCTTGGTCATCAGATTTGCAGTTTGAAAGATTACACGATATTGTGAAAATTAAAGTGACAGTGCAGCATATTAAATCTGTTGGATTTCAGGTGACAAATAAATGTGTACTCATCTGCTGAAGCATTGAATACATTAAAAGTATTTTATTGAAGAAATTCTGGTAAGTTTTATCAAGTAGACAACTTGTTTTAATTATGGTTTCTTACACTGATAGAAGGCTTTGGCCAAGAAGAAGGTATCTGAAAAGAGAGAGCATTTGACTGGTACTTATTTTCTTTGTTTTGTAGTTTAGGAGCAGATGGAGGATTTCTTTTTAAATAATCCAAAACAAAACTTTAACAAAACAGTATTGTATGAAGCTATCATAAATACCTCTCTGTGATCTCTAGTCCATTTATCCTATGGGGTCCTTTTTTATGGGGAAAGTAATTTTGGTGGTGGACTGAAAAAGTAGAAATTATAATAGAGCAGGATATTGGTCAAAGCCTACCCATCACCAAACCAGGATCAAAATCCTGAATCATTATTTTCCAAGGGAGAGAACTTCATTCCTCACTGGTATTTACAGTAATAGAGGAGGAACTGAAAAAGCACAACTGACACTTTCTTATTTAGAAGAAGCCTAGGACAAATTCAGCTTCAATATCATTCAGATTTTCATTTTGTGGCTTTCAGTGGACACACCAGAAAGAAAGGGTTCTGTTTTTTGAAGGAAGGATGTTTAGCAGATGGGTAGCAGTATTGTAAGTGTAACAAAATTCATCTTCCATTTGGAAAACCTAAACCAATATGGGAGAGTAATCATTGTGATTCTTCTGGTGAGCTTGGAAAAAAAATATTAATTCACTAAGTGACTACAGAGAGAATCCAGTAAATTCTCAATGGAATGTGCAGTTAGAGACATCACTGGCTTTAATTTAATTCAATTCCATCAATGCATTATTTTCTCTCTTCCATTCTAAACAGTTTTTGAAATGCACATAAATGGTCTAAATGAGTTCCAAAATTCAAAAATGTAGTTAACATAATGAGTAGACAGCTTTAATGAACTGTAGGCATGGTAAAATACTGCACTTTTAATTACTGGATTATCAATTCTATGATTATTACACAGCTGGTGGGCATTAGTATTTTCTGTGTGATTATGAATTTCCTTATCTAGGCAAGTTTTAAAATTAGGTTACAGCTCAAGGTTTTGGCTGCATTAAAATAGCTGTATACTTCATACCCAATTACAGAAAAACAATAGACATTTTTTGTTATTAATTAATTTTCAGTTAACAATCATAATTTGATAAACCTTTTTTCCTCTCAGATGACTGGGACTTGATCAGTTCAGCTCCATTTAGTGCAGTGACATCGTAACTTTTAATGAGGGTCAAGTTCTTTGCTTAAACCTCCTCAGTGGTGGGAGTAGTGATTTCAAAGTGTAACGTGTTATTCTTTTGTAGTAGCTTATATACACTGTGTTTTGTATTCTTAAAATGATTGCAAATGGAAAGGAAAAAACACGTATACTAGGAAATTATTTCTAAATGAGATCATTGAGATGGAACAGGAAAGAAGAATTACCTTTGCCCTGTGATACTGAGGTGTATACACTTGATATATACATAGATTCCCGTTTCCATACAATCCTAAAGTTACATTATGTGTTGTTTTTTCTAACAAAGTATTGTCTTACTGTGGTAAATGAATAATATACAGGCTTGGTGAAAAACAAGTAGCTAGCATTTATCTTGTTTAAATAAATGTGTCCACTGCTGAAATATGGCATGGGACAACTGAATTTTTGTTAGGTTCCTAATTCTTGATCCATTATTCATGTTTAGCTCTGGGTTTATATATTCCTCTTCTTATCCGAGGAAAGTAGACTAACATTCATTAGCTCACTGTAGTCTAGTTTTCTAAAAATTGGTAAGAATTTACCTCAGGACTTCAGGAAGGGTTCTGACTCTGAAATCATTTCTTCATAGAAAATAACTTCCATAAACTCAGTTGTTTATATTGGTTATCAAAGGGAAAGCAGAGACAGTCAGATCATGTTCTACTAGTGCCTGCTGTCAGGAGAACAAATAGGTCAACAGTTTTTTGGTTTAGTGTAAAAGAAGTGTAATGATATCCAAAGTTTGGAATTAAAACTTGTCAAAATCTTTATTTGTGTATATGGGACTTTGCTATTTACCACTTCTATCCCACTGATACCAGTGCCATTTTCAGATGATCACTTTATCTTGAAATCAGTATAGCAGTATTAGAATTAAAGTGTAATTGTAATCAAATATTAGCAAAATGTATTTTATGCTTATGTTTCTCTTGTTCACTTGCCAAATCAAACAATTTGTTTTACTTTGACTATTCCATACATTAATATGGAATTTTTTAGTTTAAATTTATTCAGAATTTTTGGCCTAAAAACAAACAAACAAAAAATCTTAAAAAATAACATGTATTGTCTTAAAATTAACAATTATTGTAAAGTTTTCAAATTACTGTCATCTACTAAATTGTTACAATATTTGTAATCTAATAAACTAATAGTGTAAATCCAATTTAATTTCATTGAGTGATCTGTGGATGAAGTAAAGCCCATGTTTTTTGATTCTAGGTATGTGCTTTGTTCCATTTACACCATATGAGACCATAAATGTTATTCCTCGAACCTGCCAGCTAAATACAGATGTGCCGCAAGTTACACAATTGCTGAACTTGACTAAAATTCACAAGCCAGAAATAAAATGCAGGAGTTATCCAGTAACAATGCAAGGAACAGGTATTCTAATGTACTAAAGTGCTGTGAATATGATCAAATACAAATAACATACAAATAACTGATTTTTTTTTTCTTTTGCAAAAGTGCATGTTAAAATTTTCCAGTGTCTTAAAATACATCACAACCTTTGTACAACTGTAATAGCATGAGCACACAGACACATGTTTATTCTATAGTTTCAGAGATGTGTGTGCAACCTGAACAGTTCTTACTCAAGCGTGGGATTTATAATAACAATAATTATGAGGTATGTCTTTCAAATGTACATTAAAGTGAGGCTGTTCAGTTTTTACACTTCTTTGAAAAGTACATTTATACATGTTTGTTTACAGTAACAAAACTCATCTAAGAATATGACCAAGAATATTCTCCGCTATTCTGAAATGAATAGGAAGGGGTTTAGAGTTTTGCTTCGAATAAGACCATTGATGTATTTACTTATTTAAATTAGATGCAGCTTTTTTTTATATGCAAGTACCATTATTGTGATACTAAAGGGCAAATAATATTTTAAAGTGTTATTGCCCTACAAGTAGTCATGCCAAAATTATGTTGTGAAGTTTAATTACAAGTTTGCTTTTTAAATAGCAAAAGAAATTGGAATTCAGCCACTTGGTGACAGCACTCAAAAATCATACATTTTTGGTTAGGTTGTCAAAACAAGAGGGACTGTAAAACTTAAATGAGTACAATAGTGTGAGTGATATATTTAAACAAAAAAAAATGTTTGTTTGAAACAAGTCTCCTAGTTAAACCTCAAGTTTTGTCGTCCAGACTATGAAGATACATATAGCTTATATAGAAATATAGTAACATAATTAACCATAGCATCCCTGGCCTGCATGAAAATGAAATGTTTTCAGCTTAAAGTTTAATCTTTATTTTTAATCTTATGTTATGTACATAGCATATGTTCTTCCAGACATGCATTTCAAAGTTCCGAAGTCAGGCCTCCTTGATAATGGAAGCTTTGGTATGTTTAAATACATTTCAATTGGAAAATGTTCTTTTTAGCCACTAAACTTCTCATTTATTTGATAATCAAAAGCCCAAATTATTTTTAGTCTCATCCACTTTTAATTACACATATTATTTCATTATGCCATCAACACACTGTTATGTGTTGATGTAGGTAATTAATTGCAGTCAATTAATGTGTTCATAAACAGAGATTTTCATGCAAATCAGCTTTTATAATTGGAGCTAACAACATCCCAAGGTAGTCAGCAAATTAAAGAAATTGATGTTGGGTCATCTAATCTTGTGAAATGGCAGCTGTTAAGAGGAACCAAATGTCACATCAGGAACAAAGGAAAAAGCTAATGGAAGAAAGTGCCTTCTTTTGTGCTTATTAGTACAGTAAATTACAATGTTTGGTTGCTAATGCATGATCTTTTTTTAATTTCATTGATGACAATCGAAATAAAGCTTATCTTAAATGAAGACTAAACAATTCTATGAAAAATGCTTAAGACAATGTACAAAATGTTGTTTCTACTTTTTTTTCTATCCACTTCTCAAAAGTGATAGCAATTTAATACTCAAGTTATAGCAAGAAAAAAAAAATGCATACGCTATAAATTTTAATTATAAATTAATGTGAAGGTACCCTTATTTTTTATTAGCTCTGATAAGGAGAATTCACTGACAATCATGAAGAATCAAGAAGAAAAGGAAAAAAAAAATATTATTACATGCAGTTCTGGCACCCTGGTGATAAAATTACCTTAATACATAACTATTTTACTGTCCATACCTTTTAAATTTTACTCAAAACATTCACCTGCATTTCATGACTACCTTTTGTTTTTGTGGCAGACCATTTGGCATTTTCTGTGTTTGAAAATAATTACAGAAGTATATTTAGAAGTATAGCTAGATTTTAAACAGTAAAAAATGCCATGAAAGTGCTAGAACATTTTAACAGGACTAGTGCACCTTTTCAGTATTAGGGTTCAGCCCTGGTAATGCAATAGATTCATTAATTTCAAAAACAAAACTCCATGGAAATATTTCTTGTGTACTAGGTGAGCTGTGTGTGATACATTGAGAGTATTGCCTCGGTTCTATTTCTTTTTGTTTTGTTTTGTTTTGTTATTTATTAATTAGAGCTGTTTTTTCTTCCTCTCACAAGTAAGGTTTTCATTGAAGTTCTGTAGACATCATGCCAAAAAAAAAAAAAAAGAAAGGTTTATTAATAGCCCCTTTTTAAATAAATCTTTAAAACAAGGAGATTAGACATATGTCTATATAATAGACCAACATTTTCTTGCCTGTATATTGACACACTTTTATAAAATGTGTGTTTGCTTTGAGTAAAAAAATAGTGAACTTTGACTACATATTTCTAGGGATTGTGCTATAAAGGAACATAATTTTTGTGTATGTGTTGTGTTCATAATTCTTTCATTTCAGTCGATTTTTAAAGGTATTAATATTTATTCTTTATAAGTACTGTAATATATTTTTGAAACTACTATTTTTCTTTACTTAGGACGCTTGATTAATAGGGGAAAAAGCAATATACGCAGCAATAAAACTCAAGACGTATCACATATTGCATTTGGATCAAAGATCCTTGGACCACCTCCATCTTCAAACAGAAGAGTCAGTACAAGGGTATCTGGAGAGGTAAGAAGGCTTAAATTACAATGAAACCACTGCCTTTTCTATAAAAGAAGAGATTGGCAAACAAACAGGAGAGTCATACTAAAAGTTTATTTCAGAACTGGTAAGAAGCTGCATCTAGAGTACTGTGTTCAGTTGTGAGCCTTGAATACAAGAGAGGCACTGTAACATCCAGTGGAGGGCAAAAAAAATGCTTAAGTGGCTACAGCACGTGGCATGGGAAGAGAAGCTGAAGGAGCTGGGTTTGTGCTGCCTGCAGAAGAGCAAGCTAAGGGAGAGTCTAGTTTTCACTAGTTGTTCTCAACCAATTCAACTGAAATTCTAAGATGGAAAGCAAAATTCCTTTCTCCAAAGAAGAAAGGGCTTCTTCCAAGGTCTAGAACATCCAGAAGTGTCACTGTCTTTTTATCCAGATAGTAAATTTAGATTATTTTTTTCCTTACTTTGCTTTGCTTTGTTTTCCTTTCATTCAGTGGAAAAAAAAATCTGCCTGTTAGTAGACTGTAAAGATTGAAGATACCACACAAAACTGTACCTACCACAAAGTTTCCTTAAAAGATGATGATTTTTTTTTTTAAAAAAAAAAAAGGAATATTTATTCCAAAATAAACTTAGTTCAAAATCTGTGTTTAGCTTTGAGTAGTTTGAAAGAGTTGTATCTTTATCTTTCATTAAGAAAAGTATTATCTTTCAAGGTAACAAAGACTGTGGGTAGCAAAAGTACTAGATCATGCCAACTTCAAAGTTCAGGAAAAGGAACTGAATCCCTACAAGACACCAAGAGATTGGAGCTGTCGTTCTCACCATGCAATGATTCTTTAGATCAAGGAGGCAAGAAAAATACTCACCAGACAGCTGAAGATGTACATCAGAATGGTAAGAGTGTAAAGTGAAGCATATATAGAGTTCACAAACTGCCAAAATTATCGCACAATTCTGAATTTGAATGTAAAATGTAATTCTCAGTTTTTCTCATCCTTTATCTACCTTGTTATTTACTGAAGACATTTATGTTAAATAACGGCTTGTTCTCCTGCATGAGCATGAAAAAAATGCTCATTCTCTCTGTAGGTATTTTAAGTATTTGAGCCAGGGACCACCACCTGCTTGCAGTAGCTACAGGGTATAAACATATTCCTCTTACCCTCATGATATGTATATATTTTGTTTTGATTACTTTGTAGGTTTTGCAAGCCTTTTTTTTTTTTTTATTTTAATAATTTCTATAGTATGTCTACCTTGTGTACATAGTGTTAAATTTTGACTGTCTTGTATCTGTCATTATTCTTGCTGCCCCACAAGATTCCCATTCTTTCTGGAAGATGCTTGTATACCAGAACAATTCTCTGTATGCTGTTCTTCCATGCCTCTTGTGAGAAAAACATACAATATGAGTGTTCACAGGTATTTAATGTGTCTGGATTACATTTCAGACTCTGCAATTCAGACTCAGAAGATGTCTGAGAATGGAAGAACAGATTTTCAGCTCCCCTTACCACAAGATCTATCACCAGACAAGAACAATCATGGAAGATTATGTATAAAAAATGCAGCCCAAAACACATGGGAGATAACCAGTGGTATGGTGCTAATTTTATGTTATTTTACATCTCAGTTCTGTGTGGAGTAGGGGACTATTTGTTGTAGATTTCAAAGGACTCAGAAGCAGTTCATATAAAATATAAATGTATGTGCTGCAGGGATTATGGAAATCAAACACCCTGCAACAGAATTGCTTTTGAGCATTGATAAAGATTTGTAGGATTAAGCAAAGTACCAGAGCAGTGAATGAATAAAAAAGAAAAAACTCCATGCTCTCATGATTAAAGGGAAAGAACTAAAAATAATTTATTCTTTAAATCACTATTAAATTTAACACTAAAGATTCCAAACATCAAATGTATGAGAAGAGGCAAGTATTCAGGCATGGATATCTATTATGATATCCATGTAATATCAGTTTTTTTTTTGGGGGGGGGGGTTGTTTTTGAAGATCAGTGGTGAATTTTCTTTATTTTTTTTCTTATTATTTCTGGATTAATATGTTTTGAAGAATTTCCCATAGGCAACCTGTTCATCAAGGAAAGTCTGCTATGCTCAGTTATGAACTTCCTCCAAGGATGGCAGTGGAAAAATTTAATCTCAAAGAATGATAAGCATCATTTGTGGAAAAGTTCACAGGGAAGAGGGGGAAATTCAAAAGCAGAAAAATCAAACAAAAAATGAGGACCATAATAATTTTAAATAAAATTACACCATGCAACATATGCATAAAATATACTGACATTATCAGATGAGAGAACTCCTACTCCTTCTTACCAACCATTTAACATTTGAATTCACATTTTAAGTACCTTTCTAATAAAAGCAAAGAAAAAGTATTTTCTGTGATGACTTCTCTCATAGCATCTGTTTATGCACATTGTCAGAATTGTAAGACATAAACCTCAGGACTGATGTTCTAGTCAGAAAACTCCAAAAACTTGATCTTGTCCCACAGGCTTGGTTTGGTGGCAGTGACTCTGCTAAAAGCATCATCCTGACACTTTTGACAATGTATTAATGTACACACCTATGGCAACTTGTTGGCACAAAACCACTTTCCTAAGCAAGTGCAAAACTTAAATATTTTCTGGCTCCCCTTTTATATTGTAGTTGAAACAAGTTGTATCAACAAGAATCTGTCATACAATATTCTTTTCTTATAAGCAGGAATTTAGTATTCTTGAGCCCTGTGCAGCCATCATCATCTTGGGACAGCACAGTAATTGTTGTGCCATTAGCTTGAGCAAATATTAACTCAAGTTTCATGGGTGGAGGGGAGCTTTCATAAGTGATTTTCTTATTACTTTAGGGGTTGTTCACTGCTATTCATAATACCTTCTGGATTTATCACTGAGCTGAAATCAACATAACTTCTGTAGCAGGTGCACAGCACAGCACCTTTAGAAAGGTAAATTATTTTTAAGCAAGGGAAAAAATAAAATGAGGGAGTATTGTTTATAGTTTGCCAATCTTATTTATGCAATGTTTAAACCTTCATTAAAATGTTAGGCTGCAATTGGAAGCTTTACCATAAGTCTGACTGTGTAGAAGAACTAATGAGATGTTTAGGTGATCATTCTTGCATTTATCTTGTTTGCTGCAATGTTGTGATTACATAGTAATTTACATATTTTACATATTTTGCTAAGAAGATACTCTAAATTGTTCATTACAATTGACAATGAAATGCTGAGTTAAAAAGAAATTCCAGTATAGTTTGTGGCTGAGAGATAATAGGATTTGGTTTGGTCCAAAACACTCCATATCTTTCACTTGTAAACTATTAACAAAATGGTACACTGATTACAGGTTACAGAAGTTGCTGAACTCCAAAGCTAGTGTAAAACGTCATTTGAAAGACTTGCAGACTTAATGTTTTCTCTTATTGTTTCAGTTTTATTTGCATATGACCTCTTAGATGTAATTGCAATTACCCGGATAATGTCAGATGAGTGACACAATCTTGAGTGATCAGAGGAGAATGCTGCTGTAGTATGCTCCTTTGAAAAATTTGTAGTTATTGATCAAAACAAAAGGTCATTGGGCTTACACAAAAAATGGGTAGTTCTTAAAAGGTTTGAATAGTGTCACTTATTTCTTGACATTAAAAAAAAAAGTCCAAAATATTTGTGAAATAAATTGCATTACTTACATGTTCATCTTGCATTTCTTACAGCCTCTTTCAGCCTCTTACAGCTTAGAAATAAGATGAAATGTCTGTATATTTACAAAATATACCTTTCTACATATAATTGGCAATGGTATACTAGATTACTTTAAACTAGCAGGATTATCTAATATAAAAAGATTACATTAAGAGCCTTGAGGCTTCTGACCAAAGATTGTCTTCCTTTAGAGACTGAAAAATAGTGTCCTCTGGAACAAGTAGGTGCAAGCCATGAATGTACAAGATATAAGTCCCTCCTTTCCACCTAGTTCCTACTACAAACTACTGTTCAGTAGTTTCACTGGCTACTTTCAGTAAACCGGGAGAATCAGAGCAACACAATAAGACAGCTGTTTTCTGCTGGCATTCTCATTCTTCTCTTCCTTTTGCCTTCATTTATGGTAGTTCAGAATTATTTTTTTTTTCTCAAAGCTTCTTCATGTGCCCAGAGTGGTAAATATTTCTGACAAAACTAAGAAAGAATTGAATGCCATAGTAAATTTACTCCATTCTGTGACAGCAAGCATTTTATTATTGCAGTGTTACTTTATTATTACATTTTTAGTATTTTTTATTGAGGCTTTTTTAATATGGTTGGTGGTAACCTTGTTTTATGGAGCCAGAAAGTTTCCAGATTAGTGAATAATCCACACCACACTACCTTTAATGAAGATAAGGGAGTATTGCATACTTGAGCAATTCCCCTTTTCTCAGATGCTATTTGAGATTGGTTTTAATCAATCAAATTGACATTTTTTTCTATACTATCATTCCAAACAGTAAAATATAATTTAACAATGAGAATATAAAAATGGTCTTTTCATGTTTATCTGGTGCATTCAATCTTTAAATCCATTTCTGTAGTTTATTGTTTGTTTTAAAATTGGTAGATTAGTACAGCCTGCATTCAGGGAAACTTGGTGAAACAGATATCTTCATACGTTTTTCATGTCATGCTATTTTTCATCAGAACTATAGTTTGAAATTGAGATTTAAACCATAGGTACTAGACATAAAAGAAAGTGTAGAATTTCAACAATAAAGTAGCAGCAGACTGTAATATTGTGAACTTTCCACCGAGTGTTTGTGATTTTTGGGAGAATGCAACTCAATTGTACAGTTTCAAGTCTTCACAGTTAGATAGTTTCAGATTTGGAAATTGCAGGTTTGCATGTCATATATTTTAGCCTGCAGATTTTTTAATATATGATCAGGAAACATTTTGATTGACCTTGCCTCTCTTAGAAAGCAACGTGATCTCTTTCACTGCATCTTCATCACTCTTCCAAATGTATGAATTTGATACATCAGAATATTTGTGTAAAAAAAAATTATTTCCTGTACAGCTTCCAGAGGAAAAAACAAATGTGATCAGTATAAAAATGCAATTTTATATGTTTTACATTACAGTAAATCTGTACATTACAGCAAATCTGAAATTTACATTTCAGATGAATGGGTGTTTCCAGAAAGTTTTACAGAGAGTGCTCAGTTGGATAAGAGTGGACAGTTTGTAGCTACTCAAGATTCAGCCTGCCATAATTTACCGTCGCCACAGAATGCATCTGCTGAACATCAGAGCAATGAAACAGGTGATCACCATGTGAATCATAAAGAGATTTTCACATTTTCATCAAGACCTCGGTCAGCTCCTCATGGGAAATCTCCAAATAGGTCACCAGAACATTGCATTTTCCCTTTGGATTTGAAGCAAGACAGTAACCAAGTCCATGGGGAAATCCAGATTGCAGATAACTTTCAAGGAACTGACAGCAGTGAAGAGGTAAGCCACTTTGCACATGTAATTCTTGATAAAGTAGTCTTCATCCTAAAACTCCTAGGATGAGATTCTGTCTTCAAGGTAGACAGGAAGGATTAATCATCATTTCCCTATATACCTACCAGTAGATTTGTCTCTGTCAGGTTGCTGTGTCTAACTGAGTACAGGGGTGAAAATGAAGGTATTCCCTCTGTAACAAGTGGACAAAAGAAACCTAACTCTCTGTCAACCCCTATGTCAGTAGATACATGTAAGTATGCTTTAAGCATCCTTACAACGGAAAAGATTTTAGGAAAGCCTGCATTGTAGATTTCAGCAAGACATATGTCTGTTATGGTTGAATGAGTGTGCAGAAAATAAGGCTTCACTGTGCCTTTTAGAACTGTAAGCAGGGGCTGTTTTGCTCACCAACATTGTCAAAAGTAAATTAAGAAATTTCATCTGTTTAAAGTCACTTGATGATTGGAATTTCTTCTTTATATCCTATTCGAGCTATGTGAGCATTGCCAGGTTTAATTCTTTTGTAATGTGGAAATCTTTCACCAATAAGATTAGTGAAAGAAAGGAAGTATTTTTTTAATATTTTAATGTTTCACCCTACAAACTGAAAACCACAAGTATTTGTAAAGTCCCTTTAGCATTTACCAATTAGTCACTGAAATAGTTAATTGCTGTTATTCAATTATAAGAGTCAAATAATCAATAAAGGATAAAACTTGCTTCTTTCTGTGGAATAATTCACCATCAAGTGGCTTATTTTGTAATTAAATAAATGTCCATGCTTTCAGCCCAAATTCCTGTCAGGGACTTTTTGTAGTGAAACTTGCCATGTTAGCACTTGTAGATTCTGCCAAACCCAGAGCAAAAGCAAGAGCTCTTTCTGGCCACAGGAGTCGTGTGACTGTGGCTGGTGTGTCCACACGTCAGAACGCTATCAAATATGCTGTTTTGACTGTGAAGCCAAAAGTGAAGCCTTCAGTGAAGAAACTTTCTATCCTTATGTAATTCAAAGAGTAAAGGAGTAAGATCAAATAAGATAACATACTCTTACAAAGTCTGATAGGTAATTTCACTCTGATACCTCAGTATTAAAGCCCAGTGTACAAAGAAACTATATCTCATCTGCTCCTCATAGCGGCCCTTGAGTCATTAGAATTATCTTCTTAAAATTACACCCCAGCAAGAGCAATCAATTTTATGTATCCAGAAATTATTGCCCAACTGCCCATCTGTATGTTCTTTCTAGGAATATACATGTAGTTCATCAGCAGAAGTGCTAATTCCTCAGTGAAATCATTCTCACCTTCACTACACATATGCTGTGCTATAGTTAATCAAGCAAACTTTTTTGACGTTTTTGGCACAATTTCACGATTTAATATTTATCAAATTATTCTAGAACCTACATTTATATGGCTATATATACATGGTTACCAGCATTCTAAATCTGGGCTGATGTTTTGAGAAGTGTAATCGTGTCTCTATCTTCCCCTGCTTTGGTTCACTAGTTAATATGTAAAAATATGTTTATGGGATACTCAGAATAGCAGTTCAGAAGAGCAGACAGTTCTCAGAATCTGCAAATTTAAAATTAAGCAGTAGAAATTAAGGGGCCATTTTGAAAATTTAAGGCCAAATGTTTTATGGAAAACAGTGTTGTGTGATGATGAGAGGAAATTCATCTTTGTTTCCTGAATTTAGGATGACAGTAATATATTTATCCAGGGTACTGAGAATCCAGAGATCAGTGTTAGCAGGCAAGGAACATCTGATTCAGCAATTTTTGAAGAGAACGCAATAAAGAGCATGCCATGCAGAAATGAGTACTGGAAGAATAAGGAATGCAGCAAACAAAACCTCGAGGAAACCATCTTGTCAAAACCACAGAGTTCCACTGTGAGAAAAACAGATTCTGTTATCTCTCAGAGAAGCTTAAAGCCTACCCTTTCTCTTTCTCCAACTGGAACTAAATCTGAATTCTTTAACGTCACTCCAAATGCATCTGAAAAAAATGAAGGACCTGAAGGAGTTTCTGGTCAGATAAAACCATCAATTGGTAAAAAGTCCCTCAAGAAAATCTCAAGAGAAAATTCATGTCTGACAACACAGACTTGTGTAAGTAGTTTTTACTTTGAAATTAAGTTGTTGCATTGTATACAGAAGCTGTAGGAGATGTACCCATTTGTATGAAGTGCAAAATATTGTATCTTTCATCTAGATATATTCTGGGTTCATCATAACAGTGTTTACCAAGCTCAATCTGTTGAAAGCTGATTGTGTATTTTTTTTTGCAGTGCATAAAATTGTACTCTAAATAAAACAGAAATCACTCAGGTTCATGATAGAAATAGGTGTAATTGAGCAACTCGCATTTTGAAAATATGCGAGTTAAAAATACATGAGTAGTTTGGGTCAGGAAAAGCTACAAAGGAAAATTGACAGACTTTCAATTTTTGTATTAATTAATGACCATGGAAAGAGTATTACTCTAGATATTTAATAGTCGCTCTGCAACAGTCCTGAGAAAAGATGAATTATGTGATTGAGGGCTAGCAGTGAGGCTGTGTCATAGGCTAAATTGTGACGCTACTAAAGGAACTGTTACATTCACAGAAGTGTTGTTTTATCCACAGATTTTTGTCCTGGATTCTCCTTACAGAAACATACAGTAATTTTAAGAACAAATTTGTCTGAAGCTAATTATGTTCTTACATACTTCCTAATAGTTAATTCTTGTCTTCTCAGCTTATATTAAATGATGTGCTTTGAACTGTACTTTGAATGAGGAATTGGAGCTTAAGAATCAAGTATATTCTGTAAATTGCAAATGAACAAATATGTCGCCACTCCATTTTTGGACAGAATTATTTTAGGCTTAGAATTACTGCAGTCCTACATCTTTTAACATTTTCTAGATGTGTTATGACTTGATTAGATTTATTCCTGGGCACCTGAGAATGGAATAGGCCATGTTTGTTCTTCTGACTTCAGAGATCAATTTTTTTTTCAGATATCACCTAATACTTTATGAGACTAAAGACTTATACAGCTAACAACTTCTGTCCGGCAGTGGTCAATCATAGATACCTAGGGAAAAGTGTAAGGACAGATGAAGCATCCAGCAATACCTCACCAGCATGCCGTGCAGACTTCCTGCTAGCCTTCATAGCTTAGCAATTTCTTGAGCTAAAGGTGTTGTATTTGTGATAAATAACTGGGGGTGGAAATTTTTTTCCACACACTTGTATAGTTTCATTCTATGTCCACGTGGCCTTTGTCTTGGGACAATGAATTCAGAATTTAACTTCTATTAGTGGGGTAAAATAACTATCTTCTTTTATTTGATTTTAATGCACCACTGCATTCTTGGTGCTTTCTTATTCTTCTGTTTGTTATAAGAAATAATGAATAATCATTTTTTCATTCTTCTTACCCATGCCACTTCCTATTGTATGGTTGTATATCATAATCCCCTGCAACTATCTCTTTTGCAGGTCAAGGAGTTCCATAGTATTTAGCCCCAGGCTTGCTTCTTTATGAATTTTTGCCTTTTTTTTTTTTCCCCAAGGATGTTGAATCCAGCTGATGCATGATCATTAATGTAAGTTATTTGGGGTCATAATATCTTCAACTGCAGACCAAATGGATAGATGCCTCTCTTTTTTGTGGATCAATGAAACAGTTATGTATGCTTTGGGAAGAAAATAACTACAGTCACATCTTGAAACATGACATTTACCTCGTTAGCATGATGGAAATGGACGTCTTCCATCATTACTGTGTTTTGTGTCCTTGCTGCTTGTCTGCTCTCCTTTAGGATATGACAGTCCTCATTCCAGTCAGGGGGATTTGCTATCATTCTGCTGCTGGAATTTTAGTCCATGGTGATTCTATTACTTGTCGACGCAATTAATTTTAGTTATCAGATTTGATGGCATCCATGAAAGGGGAAGCATGACTACTTCCATGGGACAAGACTGCTACTGCTGTGACAGGGACATCTTGCAGAATGATTTTAACACCTATTTCTGGCTGCTATAGCTACTGAGGACCACACAGCAGCTAACTGTGAATATAGAATTTGGGGCATCTGACTAGGACGAATGTTCTAGAAATCTCTTCCCACAAAAGGGAAGGGAAAAGGGAAAGAAAAGAAAAAAATGGAAAAGAAAGGAGGGGAATACCTGGACAATTCATCTTTTTTTTTTATAACTGCATGATCCTCAGCACCTCTAAATTGGCTATAGTGAAACAAAAAAACGTAAAACTTGATAGACGATATGCATGATCCTTTTAGAGCATGAAGTACAAGGTACTGGCCAATGTGCTGACCTGAAAAGTAAAATGGTTATAATAGGAGCAGAAAACTGGTAAGGAGATCTGTTTTAGATCTTTCTTGTCAAAATAAGAGAAAATTATGTGTGACCTTGGGTACCTTTGAGACAAATACACAGAGAAGGTGTGGATATCCCATCTCTGGAAGCGTTCAAGGCCAGGTTGGATGGGGATTTGAGCAACCTGGTCTAGCAGAAGGTTTCCCTGGGAGGTTAGAATTAGATGATATTTGGGCTCCCTTACAACCCAAACCATTCTATGATTCTATAATATGAATTGTAAAGTTTAAAAAAAAAAAAAAAACTTTTCTGCAAGACAGATTTTCTTTAGTTTTTAAATTGTTCATTATGTTTTACAACTTTTCTGTGAGGTTTTGTTTTAAAGCACGAAGGAAGAGAGCTGTCATTTTTCTCTACTCAATAAATAGTTATTAAATTAGACAGCAGAACTATTACTATATTACACTGACTCATAGCTTTAAATCTGTTGCATGTCATTTGTTGCTTGTAAGGTTTTTTTGCAAGAACAAAGCCTATCGCCAATGTATAGAATCTGAGGTGTGACAGACTTTGCTTTATTGCTAAAAAAATATAAGATGAAAGTATCTGGTGGATTTACATGTAACTCTCATACTTGATTAGATCAAGTAATATTTTTTCCATTCCAGAAGCCTTTTTTTGGAGTTCTTTCATACTTCTCTTTATACTAGGTCATCCTCCAGATTTGAAGCCAAATTTGAGTACTACTGACTGCCCTTCAAGCAACAGTTGTTTATATCATTAGAAAGTGTGTCCAACTAGCACTTACTGAATACCACATACTATTTTTAATTTTTATTAAAATATTTCCAATACTTTAAAAGTTAATATAATAAGCTATTTGAGTATGGTCTTCTTCTGATCACATACCCATATAAGGCTTCGTTTTTGTTTTTGTTTTTTTCCTTATCTACTGGAGCAGTTTTGGTGGAAGAAGCTAGTATTCTAGGTTCCTACAAGTTTCAGAAGAAGTGGTAGCATATAATATTGTTAACTACAGTGAAGCAGCACTGGAGATTTTTGTTGTCTGTGAGCATGTAATTATTTTATTTCCGTATGAAACACCGTTCATTGTTTTAAGAATTATGTATGATAGGATAGTTTTGTAAGAGTATTAGAGTGAGAGTTTACACAGAAGTAGTCTTCTAATCTGCTTGTGCAGAGAACTGGTAAAGAAAAAAAAATGCTTAACCAGCTCTTACTGCAATTGATTTGCTAACTGCTTAATACACTTTAAGGACCTGGTTGCTTGCAATGTTTTATTCATGTTTTAATAGAGTTCTCTATTATTAAGTTCAAATATTTTTAATTAAGAAAGAAGTACAGCCCTCTGGGTAATATTGCAACCATGTAGATAGCTGGTAATTAAACTTTTCCACACATATAACTACATTCAAACAATTCTGAATAAATCATTTGAACCTAGAAGAATGCAAATGTCATTATATGTGGGAAAAAAAAAAATCATTTAAACAACAGGTTTTGTCAATCTAGCAAAAGTTTTCAGAGTTTAATAAAAATGCTTTTTTATCATAAGGGGAGAATATGCAAAAAGACGAGATAAGCTTTTAATTACTAAATGAAATATTCATTTTAGACAAATTTATAAGTACTGCAAATTTACTTCTTACATCAAAAGTTTCTCCTAAATTACAAAGTGAACTTAATCTTAAATTCAATTTTCAAATTCTGTCTTTGAAAATCAGCTAAGACTATGTAAAAAGTCTGAAGAGGCTTTTTTTGTAGTCATCATCTGAAGCTAAAGTATACATAGTCCAAACTGTTTCTCTTTTAAAAGAAGGAATTTATTGTAAAGGATGTAAAAGATGGAAAACTGTCATTTACTTCTCCTTTCTGAATATAGTATTTCTAGAATAAGACCATTACTAGAAAAGAAAACAGAATAACAGTTTGAAATAAGTCAAAAAGACAATCAAATTTTTTAACTTCTTTTGTAAAAATTCCTCAAATCTATACGTCTTTCTTCATAAATTTTAAAGAAAAGACTCTCAGGTTTGGGAAATATTTTGCCTTTATTAAAAAGAAGGATGAGAAAAATGTTCTTTCAATTCTCAGTGTTTTTATTCTGCACAGTGCTAGTTCATTCTGTCATTTTAATGACCGCATACCAATAGGTTCCTATATGAGGTAAGAAAGATAAGCAGGAGCTTCTCTTAAAGTGATCAAATAAACTAAATACAGACGGTTTCTGTATAGGAAAATTAACAGGAAATCAACAGCTTCAGAAAGATCAATGAAAATCTTAACAGCTGTAGGTCTGGTAGAATACTAATGCATCAAAGCAAATCAGACTTTCCAGATAAAACATAGCAAGTTTGATGTGTAGAGAACAAAAAAACTAATAGTAGCTGAACTATTAACTTACATTTAGTAAGGTCTACAGAAAATGTCATTTATTACTGTGGGATTAAAAATGGCAGTAATAATCAAATGAATCAGGGATATAGCTTTGAACTCAAAAGGCAGAGGTAAAAGGGGTGGCAGCTGTGCTAATCACGGTAGCTCATGCACTGCACAGACAAAATGGCAGACTGTATTTATCTGTGTGAAAAAGTAGTCTCCAAGTGCTTTAGATGACTCTGTAGAAAAATCTGTAAATGACCTTTACAAAGCCATCTAAGAATTTGAGATTCATCGTAAAAAATGTAAAATGTTTACAGTAGGCCTTTTAATTAATTATCCTTTTCACAAAGATTTGTGTACTTGCACAACTGTTTCAATTTGAGCACCCTTCAATCATAAATCCAGCTTTATGTGATATATTTACCTGCTGATTGTCATCTTGCAGGCATACTTGCTTTCAAATGTTGTTTACTTTGTTATTTCAGTGCTAATTTTCTTTCTGACCATTATTTGCAATAGATGGCTTGAAGAGAAATCTGATAGACATATTTTTAGGTAATCCTGTGTCGAGGCAAGAGTTGGACTCAAAGGTCCTTTTGGGTCCCTTCTCATTTGCAATATTCTGTGACTCTATGATTCCAGTATCATAGTAGTCAGAATGAGATACTTAAAATGTCAAAAATGTATGACATAAGTGCTACTCCCACAGACTTAGTCCTCGGCGGTAACATTTGCTGAATTCTTACCTAGAATTAAAATAGCAAGTATTATTTTACATGCTATTGAGATAATAATTGTTGATTTCTTTTATGGTAGCCATGAATAAATAAAATTATACTATGTGCTTTCATTCTAAAACTATTTTTGCAAATACTTAGTAAAGTATTTTAGAGCTTGAGCTGAAATCAAGGTTCTTTTCATTGCATGATGTGATTACATGTATTACTAAAAGAGAAAGGTTTCTGAATCTGTCCTTGATTCAAAATTCATTTCCATTGTGCTTGGTATTACACATCCTATGCAATTCAGTACTGTGAATGAATCTATGGCCATATACCCAGTTAAACTTCCGATGGGGAAATAAGTAAATAAGTAATGCAGTATCTTTCTAATCCTTCATTATCTGTTTTTGGTCTGGTACTGAAGACACACACACACACAAAAAAAAAAAAAAAAAAAAAAAAAAAAAAAAAAAAAAAAACTTTAAAAAAAAAAACTTACAGGAAAAGGGATCAGAGAGACAATAATGCTTTCCTGATTACCAAAAAATATATTTTCATTAAGGTATGTGAAACTCCCTAAAACAGAAAAAAACTACTGTGTCACTGAAAATAACCTCCTGTTTGAACAGTGTTATTTCATAATCTGTCTAGTGAAAGTGAACATTTTGCATTATTAGATATGACAATTAGAGTTACATTAACAATTCAACCAGTGAGCATAAAGAAAAATGAAAATAGTGGCATTTATTTTCAAATGTACACACTAGCAAGTTACCAAAATAACTTTTAAAATTTAGTGCTGTCGTGTAGCATTCCAAAGAAATTTTATTCTGTACTTGAGAAATAACTAAATATTATATTGATGTTTTTTATGATACTATAACCATGTTGTTGGGCTTATTTCAAGATTTGCATTTAATGTTTAAGCAATTTTAACTGCTGGATTTTCAAACTTTTGGGATTCTGCTTTTATATTATTATTAATACTAATACTACCATTAATAATCAATTTTTTTAATTACAACGGAACAGCAGCTTACCAACTATTCTGGATCCAAACTGCAGTACATAATAATATTTGTACTCTTCTTCCTTCCTGTAATGATATGCAAATATGCTTCATCTTCATAGCTGAACAGAAATCTATTAACTAACATTTTCTAATAAAAATTCTGATTCTCTCTAAGTATTGTAGCTTCATGAAGATTCCCCAAAAGATCTCCCAAGGTATCCGTTTCATTCATGTATTCTATTCCATCATCCGGTCTATATTGTTGACTTTTCCATTTTATTTCATAGGAGTATGAATGGAAAAACTTCCAGACAAGTAGACTGAGTGTATCTGAACTACAGATGCTGGCTAGCATGAAGAGGCAACACAATGAAGAATTAAGGGATACGGAGATCTCTCATGGGCTAAGCGCATCACAGATAGACAACTGCAATGTTAGCATAAGTACAAGCAGTGATGATACAGCAACCTGGAATTCTTGTTTCCCACCAGTAAGTCTAATCCTGCAATGTTTTTTGTAAAATTCTCCGAGTGTTTACACAGTTCCTATCAATTCTGAGGTTGAGGGGTCTTGAATATTATAATAATGAATAATAATATATATATATATATACATAAAATAATGAATAATATTTCTTGGAGTAGCTTTGCAATTTAAGTTATCATTACCAAGCATTTTTTAGAAATCGACAAGTAAAACACACAAAGAAAATGTGCACTTTCTGCAGCTTCTATAGGACCACCATGGAAAAGGAGCAAATCTGTTATATATATTCTTTCCTACAATCCTGAATAATCATGTAGGCGTTACAGCTTGTCACAATAGCATCTGACAACCTGCAGGTGTGTGTGATATAGTATTTAAATATAGTTTCAAAATGAATGAAACCCATATATACCAGTCAGAAATTGCATTGTAGTATGAGTAATGGAAAATAATTGCTTCTTAGAATGATAAAGGCTCATTACCGAACAGCTAACTGTTTAAGGGACTGAAGAAGGAGAATAGTGGAAAGAAGCTGCAGTAGTTCTGAACACTTAGTGTGATCCTTCTGTATTTTACACCTTGTATCATTACTTCTCCTGGCACAAAATGGTGCAAAATCACACACCTCCACTATGTGACAGAGCACTGTTATATGAAGCAGGGGTGTATTTGTTGTAAACTACTGAGAGTATTGATCATATGAAATCATAGAATAGCATTTCAGCAACTATATGAAGGAATTTTCAGGCACTGCTGTAAAACTAGGTAACCTCATAGTCCATTTATATCACAGCAACATAGTTCTTATTTTATTATAGGTGAAACAATAATAAGCAATGAATATGGCTTAAGTAAAGCACATAACTCTCAGAGGCAGGTCCCATGTGAGAAGAGTAACTACTGCTGTGTTGCCTCAATATAAATTATTGTAGGGTAAATGCTCTGAAATGCTCTGAAATGTCAGCTGCAAATTATCTCCAGGGACCTATAGGGCCCAATAGAGGCCTGTAGTAGCAATCTTTCATAATGAATGACCAACGTAGCATTGGAACTTTGTGGTGCACTGGTAAATGAAGGATTCAGATGAGAAGAGTTGTATTGGTAAGTGTGTAATTATACTAAGAAGAATTTGGTTTTCAGAGTCATATTTTGCAGGCCATCAGAAAATTAATAGTTGGCTTTAACTATCAGAGATACGTCAACATTGTGCATTTAGTTGATATTGTCGTACTTCTGATGCATTTACTTAGTACTCACTATGTAGAATCAAACGGTATATGTCTGCAAGACTAGACAAATGGAACTCAATTAAGTAAAGAGAATAGCAGTCTTATTAACTTTGGACTAGCTTAATTATAAGGAAGTTGATAAGAATATTTAGGCAAGTCAGTTTTGGCTAATACAAATTACATGACTGAAACATAATGATCTTTTAAAATTAAATGTACTGCTCCGGTATTTAGTGAAGCCCAATGTGGCTGCAACAACAGTTCTTTAATGTCACTGCCTTGATCAGTTTCTGCATGTTTCAGACTAACAACATTAGTTTAAAAAAGTGTTTAGATAAAATATTTTAGTCATTTAAATTGTAATTTTATATAGCTGTGTTTTTTTGTTGGCTTACAAATCTATAAATCTGTCAGGTAATTTCATATAGTTATTTTCAGAGAATCTCCACACTTAGCATTCACATGTGCAGTAAATGTGTTATTGTATGCATACATGTAGGTAGTCTACATAACTGAGAGATCAAAATACAGCCTGTCCAGTGTGATTAGAGCATGTTCAAAGGTTGTTGCTCCTGTATTTCAGTCTTCTACCATGCAGGATCCTGATGTAAGATCTAAAAAAAAAGTAAAGTCGTCATTTCTTCAGCTTCCAGTTTTTACTCAGAGGTGTTCCTTATATATGTTAAGATATTTATATGAACAAGAAAAGCAAATTTGTTTTTATGTCCACTGATTTTTACTATTACCATCATACGAGTTGACTCGAGAGAATTTGCCAATGACCAATTTCAAAATGACATGCGCAAACTGGAGAAAGGTTTGTATGTGTCTGTAGCAATCTTGCTTTTGCAAATGATTTTGGCTGTATGAAAAAAAAAAGAAAAAAAGAAAAAAAAGTAATCCTTATGTAGTAGCTTAAGAAATTAAGGACAGTTTAAAATTCTTGTCATGATTAACCTTTCATGCTTACATGTGTTTCAAGATAGTATCTTTTTGATTATTTAAATCAGTAATATCTACTCTGCTTTATTTTATGGACTTCAAAGATAAGAAGATAAATAAGGAGGGTTTTTTTATTCTAAATTTTCATTCATTTTATATAACCTTTTTATCCCTTGTTGGAATCTATGGCAACAGCACCACCAGACGGCAGATTTTTGTGTATCTTTCATTTTGAAATACATATGATGTTTTGTAAGGCAGTGCAGGATATAGTCATGTTAGACAGTGAATGTACATATAAAAGTAATACTTTATATATAAAACACATTTTAGTAAGTTTATTTTTTCCATCACTTGTCATTGTTAGTGTGATTTCCAGATTCATAGAAAATTTTGCACTTATTACTGACTAATGAATCTCAGAAACTCTTCTGAAGTAAAGGCACATAGATCAATCATACTGTTAAGCTGCAGTTAGAACAAATGAACAGATGTCCTTAAAAACTATAAAACGGATATACTAAAACTGTATTTTACAACCTATGATAGTTTACCAAAAACTGAGTATACGCTGTTAGGAGAAATTGTTGAAATGCAAGTTGTTTATTAGCTGCTGTAAACTATGACAGACATAAAGGAATAAAATAGCTTTGAATATTATACATTACCCAGCTATAAATATAAACAGCTTCTTTAAAAAAATATAAAATAAATTACTTCATGGGAGAGCTGCAAATCCTTGCAAAATGTGTGGGGCACAGGGCAAAGTTCCAAATTCATAATATATATTTGTAGGACTAAATATTTTTAAAATACACTATTTTACAGAGTCTTACCTGAATATTTTCTTAATTTTCAAGGTCTGTGAAGTTAAACACTATCTTTACAACAATATGAAAGGCAGTCCTCTATATTGCAGAGTATAATGTTAGTTTATATCTACACATATGCTTATTATCCAAGGAACGTTGCAAAGCTTGGAAAATAATTCTACTTTAATGTCTTGCTCTGTTCTAAAGATCCAGTAAGATCTTCCTGCCCTGTCAGGGAAATGGCACATTCAGCTTCTTGGCAAGCTGTTTCCAGACAACGTCAGACATCACTTTAAATATAACACAAGAATTTTGGACCAATATCACATATAAGAGAATTCAGGGTATCTTCTTGCATATGCTCCCTGATTCTCAGTCAGAAATGCAAAGGAGAATGAAGATTCTTTTGGATTGTTCACTGATGAATCCTAGAGATTGCAGTGGTATAATGCTCTATTATCAAACTCCAAAATGTGCTCACCACTAAGACCTGTCTTTCAAGGAAGGAGTACTCACAGAGCAGTAAGATTACTTGTTCTCCAAGCAACTTCCTAAATATAAATTCAATCTAATCAGGTTTGACCTGAAAAACCTTTGAGATTTCCAAGTTCACGCCTAATTTGGGGAAGGTCTTCTGACCTCCATTGTGATGATTCAAAAAAGAAAGCCACTTAAAACAAAAATGTTCTGGCAGAAGTGAAGTCTGACAGACAAGAGGAGTGATATTTAAACCCAGAATTATTCCAGCTGAGAGCTCAGTTTGACAACCCCTGGAGGGATCTATTCACATCAAGTCAAATTGCAAAACTAAGGCAGACTATTCCTTACTATGAAATGAGACTAAAAATTATTTAGACAGATATTCTGGTTCATAGACTGACTAATTCACTTTCTGTCTCATCCTCGGTCTTCTACTAGCCATCATGTGGGAATTGCACTATCCACGACCAGGCAGTGACTCATATTTGGCAGTAATTAGGATGTCATTCATCCTGAGCATATATTTTACAACATCCCTCCTGACTTCCTGAAACCATGTGAATGTACTGATTTTTTTATTGATTTCTGTAAAAATACAGTTCCTTTCATAATACTTCGTATTTATTTTTAGCCATTGCATTTACTAATTCGTACAAGTATTTTTAAATTGTGCTTGTGTTTTCGCTTATTTCTGCAATTGCTTCACTGGTTTGTTTAGAGCTGGTTTTGATGTGTGGGATAATGTGAGGGGGTCCTCTCCGGAAACATATACATTGAGACAAAATATATTTCTGAATTTTAGAATTTTAGAATTTTTATGAGTTTATGAATACTGGTTTTTATGGCAAATAGCTGTTTTAGTGCCATAAACACCAAATAATGCAATTTCAAACTTTTAGATGCACATTCTTACAATAAGCAGGTAAGATTTGAAGGTTATTTTTTAAATAATCATGCTTTTTTATGAATATTCATACCGTCCACTGTTAGTAATCCATGAATAGCTTAATCCAGGTTTCAAATCAGCAGTTCTATTAAGAAGCATGTGTGCTTCAGCAGCCTTCATGTGGGACCATTAACATTCCCTAGTGCTTCTGAAAAGATAAGAGACATGCCTGCCAGCCCTGTCAGTTCACTCAGGAGTGTGTAGCCTTAAGAATGGTTGGGTGTGCACAGGTACAATGAAGTGTCCCTGCACCATGCTTCCTATATACATACAACCCAGACTTGCCTAACAGACAAACCTTTTCCAACCTCCCTTCTCTGTTTCCCAACTCTGTCCACACACTCTCACAGACAGCAGAGAAATGACTGTGTGGTCGACTCCTTAATTCATATGTATTTCCACCTAGACAAGAATCATCTGTTAAATACAAAGTTAGTTAAAATACCCTTTTAAATTTCACAGATTAGATGAAAGACTGTAAAGTTCCAATATCAGAAGCTTCAAATGTTTATCCTCATAAATGATCTCTTACATATTTTTGAACATTCTGAAAGTATATTTGCAAAGTTATTTTCTCATTGTTATTTTTTTGTTGTTTTTTTCAATAGCCCGTCAGTCAGGAGCATCACTATCAGAAAGAAATGAGCCCGCTTTCTCATTCCAACCCACGGTAAGACTCCGTGTATAGCCCAGGCAGTAAGAATTAAGGTGGAGTGCTCTGAATGCTAAATGTGACTTTCTTTGATTTAATGTCTTCTATTGCAGCCTCCTCTCAGAGGGCTTTACTATTGCTCTTTTTAGTCATTGACTACAGGTTGCAGTATGTCTATATTGTCCCAGAATGCAGAGCTGGATTCTGCATGGTTTGGATGTACCTCTGTGTATTTAAAGTAGCCAGCAAAGGCCTGGCTCCTAAACCTGCTTTGATGTGTGGTTCAGGAAATCTTCTTCAACTGACATATATACCCTCTCACCTGTTTCTTTCTCCCTCTCTGTCTCTCTTCTTTGAAGGCTCTGAAGTAAAATTGTGCATGTGACTCTAGATGTCAGGGAATCTATTTGTTACAAAAAAAAAATTTAATGTTCCTTAATTAAACAGGACTTTTCAATAGATAACACACTCAGGAGAGGGTGCTATGTTGTAACATTGTGAGATAGTTCAGACAAATCCTGCCTACAATGTATTTTGGCTGTCAAGTTCTTTGTCTTATCTGTTTTGTTTGGAGACGACAACAAAATCCCTGTGACTTTATCGTAAGGTAAGATAGGGATTTGAAGACAAGAGGAGAGGGTGGCTAAAGGGAAGTGATGAAAGTTGAGACGACCAAAATTAATTGTTCTGTTTTAGAACTGCCTGTGAAACCCCAGCATCACTTTGACAAAATTTTAACAGCCTGAACAGGAGGTGTACTTATTTCAAAAAGTTGTCCCGCTTCACTTTCAGTTGGTGAAATTAACATGGATTTTACATGTCCAGATTTTAGCTGGACAATGCATGGATGTTGGGAGGAATATGAGAGAACATTTCAGATACGACCATGAAAGAGTTTGCTTGATTTTTTTTCAGGATATCAACAGTGTGAAATTTTATGATCATGCACTGCAAGTCAGTTGTGCAGCATAATATGTATTTCTCCTCACATAGATGTTTTCAGTCACTTGTTTCACTTCCATCCACATTTTTATTATCTTCTTGTTAGATTTTATGGAGTGAACAATATGAAACTTGCTGCGCAAGTTCACCCAGATGTGTCAGTTATTGCAGCATATGTTTCTTGGTGCACATAGTATATTACTGGAGTTAAAATGCAATCCTGGATTCCTGTTCCATTTCATATGTAAATCTGTGTGCTGATGTCAGTCTAGAAAACCTCTCTAACTTGGGTGCTACTTATCAGAGAATCTGTCTCTATCTATTAATGTTAAAGTGGATGAAGTGGATGGAGACACTTGACTACAGTCCACAGATTAAGATATCAGGTAATTTGTGACTGACAATTTGTCAAGAACTGTATTCCAGAAGTGATCTCATAATTATGATGATATTAGAATAGCCTGTATTTTAATACAAGCTGTGTTGTTTTTCTGCTTTTTCCCCATAGGTTGGTTGAGTTGGGTTTTATTACTTTTATGCATGTGTTAAAGCAATTTTATACTCAGTACATTTTATATACTGAAAAAGAAAATAAACACCATTATCTGTAAAAATAAAGCATTTCAGCATATTAAGTTAATATGGTCTACAATGAAAACTTCCATTTTCATATAATAAAATCTAAAACAAAATAATATAAATTACAATTTAGTTCTTATGCTATTTTAATCCAATACACACACTAGACTTAAATTTCAAGTCATTTTCGAGAAATGTGGGCAAAGTATTCATAGAATACTTGAATACTGAATACTTGCAAATGCTTCATAAATTCAGTAGCCCTTGTGAACTGCCAGAAAAGTATTATTGGGCTGTAAATACAGAAGATGACAAAATTACGAGGTCAGTTTGCATCATGATATTAAAACCTGAGAAGATATGACTGGAATACCATCATTCAGATCATTACCTTTCATTTATAATGGAAAACTGAGTAATGTTTTCCGTATAGGGTGTGTACATAAATGAGAGAGAGATGAAAAAAATTGGCAATTCTGAAACTTAGTTCCTGAGCTTTTTTTAAAAGCCAATTTTAATAGGTAATGTACAGGCAAGTAAAAAAATATCTAAATCTTTGTGAAATTACTGTAGCTATGTAGAGGAACACACAGGACAATATTTGAAAAATTGGTATATTCTATGTAGAATATGGGTAGAAATACCATGGTATGAAGACATTTAAATGATGCACTTACTGAAACAACAAAGAGTTTGTTTTTAAAAGTGGTAAAGAATTCGACAGGCCTGACATAACTTTAAAAAGTATATTAGTGATATTTTCTGGGAAATGAGAAGAGAGCAATGTGGCAGCTATTGTCCAGTAAATGTAGCTTCTGTCCATAATAAGATAAAAGAACAAGCCAAGAAAGAAAGCACCTGTGAAGATAATGGAAATGCAGTCAATAAAAAGACCCAGCTAGACTCATTTTCCATTGGTTCCACTGGGTAAAGGTCATAAGTCTGCCAAGAATATTGCTACTGCAGTACAAATCACCCCCGCATCACGCTGCTTTGCAAGGCACAGAACCAGTTAATGAAAGGAGACAGGCTGACTGCAGAGGCTACAGAGCCAGATGAGCAAGAAGATGCACAGTGTTTCAAGCCTTAGCTATGCAGTTCCCACAGGCTGACTTGCTGTATGGTCCTAGCTGAACTTCAGAACTGCTCTTTTTCCTCCAAATAGGAGTCTAATTATCTTTGTTACTTCTTCCTCCAGTGCAGGGGCTGGAAGCTGCTATGTACTCTACATCTACTTAGTAAGCATTTAAGCAGCATTGTCCTTCAAAATATGTGTGTTACAGAAAGTTTGGAAGTTTCATTAAAGGAAATGCTGAAAGAAAATTAATATTGAAAAGGAATTTCAGTCATACTGAACTGCAAAATGTGGTACTATTCTATAAAAAAGATCACTTGAGCCTAATTTTATGAATACATTTTCTGAACTACAGATGCTCTTCAGAAAATTTATTTCTGATAAAAGCTGATTTTCCATCTTTGAGAAAGAGATATTTTTTTAAAGATGAAATCTTCTTTATAAGCATTGCCTCACCAGCTCCTCAGCTGGCATCCTACTCAACTCTTCCCACTCTACCAAATTAAATTTGTTCCTCTGAAGTTCAAACAGCTGTTCCCCAGAAACCACACTACGGTAGGTCATAAATATTTCAGAACTTCATTGGGTATCCTTTCACAGGAATTATATTGTACTTCAGTAATTTCATATAAAATGTACATAGGCAAATTTTCAGTTAGGTTTCACCCAGACATTTAATTTTACTTGTTAAAAAAAGTATCTATTCTCATAGTGAATTGTGGGCACAAAGATTTGATGATAGTAAATATCTACCTAATTTGGACTATGTCCAAAAATGTAGGAATAGCATGTACACCACAGGCTTCATTTTACGAGAAAGTCTATTTGTCAGTGGTCTCAAACCAAAGAATGAGTGATCAAGGTATGTTTCATTCGTAAATGTGTTGTGTTTTTTTTTTTTTGATAATCTGATGTTTAATTTGTTGTTCATATTATTGGCTGGTGGGTTTCATATGTTAACGGCTCTAAAATCAACAACCTCCCCAAATTGCTCTATATACCTGGAGCTGATGGGTTTTCCAAAGGTGGCTGGAATCTGCAGAAGTTAATTAGTATATCAGTCAATGAAAAGTGATATTTTGAACTACAGTCTATACCTCTGCTGTGGGCTTGGTCAGGGCTGCCTGCACAGAATTACCAGGAGTAAATAGGACTGTAGTCCCTTACCAGCTCCAGCCCAGAGCTGGACTGCTGGAAGCTCACACTTGCCTGGCTGATATGTGAAAGTATGTGTATGCATCCAAATATAGTGTACCCACCCATTCAGCCCTATATGTTGGAGCTGGCCTTGCTGTAGGACCTGCTGGGTGATCATGATTCCCTGTTAACACTGAGAGTGCATCTGCAGCTGATGATGTAGATTGTCAGCCCTGAAATCCCAGCAAGAAATTGAAGAAGCTATGTGATGTTATTTGGCAGTTCCCATTTACCCTTTCCAGTGTCTTATTCTTCTCCATGATTCCCTGACCTGCTTTGCATATTATTATCTCCATAAGTTTCGCTATGAGAAGTAAGCATTACAGTTGCTCTGCAGTGGTAGGATTCAGTACCATTCTCAAGCCAGTCCAGTAGCTGACTCATAAAATACGCTTGATTTATCTTCCCCGTACATGCAAGTCAGTTGCTTCTTCCGTGAAATTTTTGTGTTTAAATTAGTTTCCATCAGTGGTTTTGTTACAAATAAAAAAGAAATCCCTTAAAGCTAAGGAACACACTAGGTCCCTAAAATTTTAAGGAAAAACAGCATTATAAAGTGTTTACTAAAATTGCTAAATGGAAATAGATGATGCAAGTCAGGCTCACTTTTTGTCTAGATTTATGTTTTATCTATAAAAAGTGTCACACTACTGTGGTTTAAATCCCTCGTAGCTTTGCTACTGGTGGATGTGATATAAAGTTCATTGTATCTATAAGAGGCTGATAAGGGCCTGCAGTCATTGACAAATGATTAATAGTCACCTCACCTCACATTGGTTTGGTACAAGCTAACTTAAGCAAGCTGTCTTGTTACTGTAACCTATGTATGTTATGTTAGACTGATCGGGATGTCATCATTCTTCCTTTGTCTACAATCTGAAAGAAAAAGGAAAAAACAACTAAAGAAGTTTTCTTCCCTTTTTTGGTAAAGGTATGTCTCCAATGGAAATAGTTCATATAACAAAAAATGAACAAACAATGGTTGCCTTTTGTAATTGCATTCTATTGTTTAACATTACAATAAATGTTATAGATTTGAAATTGATCATCATAAAATAAATGTTTCATTGACTTGCAGATAAACATGTTTGAAGAGGACAATAACTTTAAGTTTCTCAAAAAAGTTGTAGATGTTGCCATAAGAAAAAAAAAAACAAAAACAAAAACAAACAAAAAAAACATTCTTAGTTACTACTTTACGAAACAATGTGATTTCCTTATTTTT